CAGTTTTTAGCCAAACAAAACAGCCTTCCAGGTTTCCAATAACAAATTCTTTGAAAGAAATAATAATTTTTTAAAATGTATAGAAATGATCACAAAATTTGACCCTATTATGTGTGTATATATTAATAAAATTTAAACTAAACAAAAATATAGCTTCATTAGCTTGGAGATAAAATTCAAAATAAAACAACTAGTAGCTTGGAGATAAAATTCAAAATAAAACAACTAGCGTATTGGGGGATAATATTAAGCAAGTTGTTTTAAATAAGGTCAAACAGGCAAAGCATTTTTCTGTTTTACTTGACTGTACTCCTTATGCCAGTCATCAAATATCAAGAGCAAATATCAATTTGTATGAGGTATCTTAATTTAGAAAATACAGACATGAGTATTGAAGAAAGGTTTTTAGTATTTTCTGTTACAACACATACGAACAGTGAAGACAAACAACATTCTTATTAAAGACTTTAAGAGAAAAATGGTTTAGATATTAGTAATTTATGCGGCCAAGACGACGACAGTGGTTCAGACATCAGAGATAAACAGTTTTCAAGTAATTATGCTCAAATCGTTGCTTTTCTGAATGAATAAGTTAACCTACGTTTAACGTAATGTGTAACAGCACTTACCTTTTTTTATGCAGACAAACAAGCAATAACAAGAAGCAATCACAAAAAAAGTAAATGTCGCACAAATTACTACGATGGCAACAGTAGACACAAAATAAGGATTAAAAAATTTGTCGAATGCGTGTACCCTTACATATACATCGGCATCAAGTATTTTGACGTTCAAATAAGACAGAAGAGACAAACTCCTGCTCTGCTTATAACTTTCGGTCAAATAAGACAGTGTGCTAGGAGGAAGAAGCACTCAGACCTGGCAAGCTCAAGGCACCCTTAACACAATTAAACTCCCCAACCCCTAGAGGCGATCCAAGAAACCGCTAACCTATTGGTCTAGCCGATGAGCTAAGACTAAGCTGAGTCAACAGGAATAATCAGCAACTCGCATTCCACGTCCCCATTCTGGAGGGATGGTAAAAACATTTTCCATCAACAGGGGCTCCAACCCAAGACAACAGAAAGAAGTCACTTAAACACTGGACCACCAATCCGTCCTGCTAAGACTATGTCATGGTATACAGATGTCAGCTTTAGGCACACCCAGGGGGGGACAAAAGAAGGATATGAATATGCAGTTTTGAGGCTCTAGGCGCGGACTGGAAACCTCAAACAGTTTAAAGGCTCGCTGAATTCGCCAACTCCATCGATGGGGATTTTTCGTCCCATCGATGGAATGACCATGAATATCTGATTATATAGCTTCACCACAATCAACAGAACGTACAAGACAGTACCATACTGTACCTGCCGAGCCTGAAACAGCCATTGCCAGTGATGACTCCAGTCATGTGAGACTGATTTTAAACACACGTGGCCGAGACTGCCTAGGTACAGATCCTAATCAGAAGCTTTCTAGATTTTACTTGAGTCGACCTGCGGAGGAGTATGCAAATAAGACAAGAATTTTCCTGTTTAGACAGACAGCGAGACGAACTGCTTGTTTTAATGACAGCCCGGCGCCTTTTTGCCTCGCTGCTGTCCCTTGCGCCTATTGTCAGTGCTGGCTTGCATATTGCTCTATTTTCAATTAGAATAATTTTTTACGTTGATTTGCTGTATTTTGTCTTCTTGTTGCTTTGCATTCCTTATTTTTCTATGCGATTGAAGAATATTGTCGTTTGTTTTTGAAGAACTCTTAATATGTTGTACATTTAAATAATTGAAAAATAATAAAACAAACCTAGTTTTTCAAAATGGAAAAATGGCTAGGATTGACTAAGTGGAAAAGTGACGATTCACAATTGATGGATCTAGAACAATCTACTAGCACTAAGAATATTGAAAAGAAAAGACCGTCAGCCTCAATGTCCTGTTTGTGGTGCACTGTTATTCATTCTAATTATGAAACCGTCGTTTGTTAAAAGATGTCCTGAATCTAAGCATGCCAGTTTAAAGGATAAAACTGAACAATATTATCAGAGTTCAAAAATAGTAAAAAAACAATGAAAGGTTTTGTTATTTCAAGTGAAAAAGCTTTGGAAGCTAGTTACGTAAAAATTGCCAATACTGGGCAGGCTCACATTATCGAAGAAAACCGTATACAGTCAAATACCAAAAATCCGCCGATCTGAAATCGGCGTTGCCTCTCAAAGTATAAACATTCAGTTTATAGATTCCAGGAACCGCAATATTGAGTACGAAATATTGAAGAAAAAATACTTACCGAATAATGATGTCATAATTACCGAATAATAATGAGTCATAACGGAAATACCAAATTATTGACATCATGATAAAAGATTTTTCCCCTCTAATCTGCATCGAGGTAAAAAAGCAGACAATTCACTCAACTCTTCTTTCAAGTTCACGATTCACATTGTATTTTCTGAGCTTTGTTATTTCACGAAATTATTTAGTGCTGCCCTTTTTTTATCCAGATATCTTGTGGATAAATTAAGAATATTTTAAATTTCAGCCCTCTTTAGTACAATTACAGAAAAGAAACGCAATCATGATGTTAGTGCTTGCGACATTGAAAAACGTAAACACGTTGCATTTGACGATAATGGAAAAAGTGCAAATTCTGTAAAAAATGGAGGCAGGTGCTACTCCTCAGTTTATAGCAGAATCATATGGAATTGCGATATGATTGTGTATGATATATGGAAAAATAAAGCTGTTGAAATTTTACAGCAACAGTGATTCTAACACCGGAATCCGAAACTGGAATTCTTTGCACGAGGCAAAATTGGCAAACCTTGATCAGAGTTGCCAACTCTCCCGATTTTCGACCGCTCTCCCGCCAACCCGATTTACTATATAATTCTCCCGTTTTCTTATTCTTAAAAATTCTCACGATTTTTATGGAACTGGCTTAAACTTTTATATGAACAAAAAAAAAGGGGGGGGGGTTGGACATCTGAAAGCAATTGAATTTTCTTTAGATTATATCTAAAACAAAACCTTGCGAATTAGATAACTTCTACTTTGTGAGTGAGAGCATATATATATCCAGAAACTTCATTCTCCAGTTCTCCAATGGGCATCGGGCTGAAACAGTCTCTGAAAACCTGAAAATTGTTTTGAATCAAGCTGTGAAGTTCTTAATTTTATTAAAAGCCAAGCTTTAAATTGAAGAATATTTACCTTTTAATGCCAAGAGATGGGCAGTGAACATAAAATGCTTTCGTGCATTCCGAAGTAAGGTAGAGTTATCCAGAGGAAAAGTTTTAGATTGTGTTTTTGAACTTCGATCAGAAATTCAATTTTGCTGTGCGATTCAAAATTTCAATTGAAAAAATATTTATTTAGTGAATTATGGTTGTCACTTTTAGCACATTTTGCTGATAATTTTGAAAAGTTAAATGAATTTAATTTAGGATTACAAGGAAAAAGTGTTAATTTTTTCAGCATTAGAGATAAAGAAAAATTCGACGATAAAAAAACTCGAGCTAATAATCAAAGAATTGGATAATACTGTTTTAAGCTTTTTACCACTTTTAGAAAGTTTTCTAACTGAAAAGTATGTGAAAATTAAAGAACAATCACCAACACTAAAAATTATTCTTTTTCATATAAAAATAATTTCAACACATTTTCCCAAGGATTATTAATAAGAAAACTGGTTTAGAAACCGATTTTGTTCAAATGTACCTGAAATTTTGTCTCGTGGAGAAAAAGAACAATTGACAGAAATTTCCTGTGATCGAAGATTTCAAAAATAACACACTTGTTAACTTTTGGCTGAACCGGAAAAAAATGATTTAAAGGCACTTGAAATAAAGCTATTAAATTTGTATTTCCTTTTTGCATAACCTATTTTTGTGAACAAAGATTTTCTTTCATGTTATAGTATTTGAAAAATAAATGCAGACCAAAATTAAAAATTGATTATAAATTATGGGTAACACTAAGTGGAATAAGACCAGACAAAGAAACTGACCTCTCTTAAATAGACCCAAGTTTCGTACTAATTTTAGAATTAAAGTACTATAACTTAAATTTTTATCATTCAAATGGTAACCAATTTTTAATGTAACGTTTTTTATGTGTGCATATTTAATACAAAAGACAATGAGGTGTGCAAATGGCAAAATATATTTGTATTTTTAATATTTCTATTGAGAAATTAAAAAATAATCATTGTAAAATGTAGTGGTTGTTCTGAAGTTTTTCAGTTTTTGTTTAGATGGTATGCTTTAGTTAAAAGATTAAGAACTGCTGATTTAGACTGTAAGTTCCCATCATTCCATGGATATTGAATGCTGTCTGTTGGGAATTTAAAATTTTGCATTGTTTGCTTCAAAAGTACAAATTTTTCAATAAATGCTGTTGCTTAATTAATTAACATATGGGTTTAGAAAAGTTTTAATGTATTGTATAAGGATGTTAATTAACTAAATATTCTTCTGTATATTTTAAGTTCACAAATTTAGGAAAATCTTTATTTATAAGTTATCATATGTTGCGTATTTATCTTTAAATTATTTAATATCGATACATATAACTTGATGTGTAGCATACAGACTTTAAATTAGCATTGAAATAAGTTAACTGAATAGCCACAACCTTATAATTAATACATACATGTATATCATAGTTATTGCTGCAGTACTTAGTAGTGTTTAAAAACTCGATTTTTAAAAAAATGTAAAGGAGGGTGATTTTATAAAGATTTTTGCCAATGTCAGAAATATTTTTTTTATTCATACTCGTATTTGGTTTTACTGTACCTGATATTTTGCAGGAAAATTGAATTTATTTTCTGTTAAATAACATTTTAATTTTAGTATTTTTTGTTGATCTTTGCAATAACAACAATGCTTATTCTTATTAAACTGATAAACTCTATGAAATCTTTAAATTTACTTATTTTATGTGCATAGAGGGCTAATTAGTTCTGATTCTATAAATATATCATGATTTTTATTTTAGGTATGAATGGCTGGATCCAAGTATCAAGAAAACAGAATGGACACGCGATGAAGAAGAAAAGCTGCTTCATTTGGCAAAACTCATGCCTACACAATGGAGAACTATTGCACCTATTATTGGAAGGACTGCAGCCCAATGCCTGGAGCATTATGAATATTTATTGCAAGTATCTTTACAAAATCTTATTAAAATTCCTGTTTTAATGTAATCTATTAAATGCATTGCATATCAGAATTAAAAGATATTGACATAAATAAAACTTTTTATTTACTAAAAAGGCTAAAAAGATAATTGGGTATAAGCATTAGTTAAAATAAATTACCATGTTTCCAATTGATAAATCTCAATTGAATTTTAATCCAATTTGTTAGAGATGACTTCACAAATAAGCATCGGAAGACATCATGAATAAGTATCATTGTAATCACCACTTCAACTCATCTAGTTATTGCTAAACTAAGATTTATTAAGACACGTTAGAATGAAAAGAAAAGTAAAAAGAATAATCATCAAAACATTTTCATACATTTGTTCTCACCATCGTTTACCTTTTATCTAACCCCCATGTGCTCATCCAGATGTCACTTTAACATAATCTTAGTTACAAGTCCTACATAATTTGGCCATCTGACATTAGATGGTATTACAGTCAGTAAAAATTTTGAAGTGTTTGCTTAAAAGATAAACTCTAAATTTTTTCAAAGCTTGTGTTACAGCTAATGCCTCAAGTTCATAGCTAGTGGGTTTTTTTTTTTTTTTTTTTTTTTTTTTTTTTTTTTTTTTTTTTTAATCGTATGTATTTTTGTCATGTAACAAACAGAATGGAAACAATTTATCTTTCATAGATCTTTGCCTGAAAATACAACCATAATCGTGGATACTGGCATCAGTGTGTATTTCATTATCGCTGTGCAGATTATAGATACTAAATATGAGTTTTTCACATAACTTTTACTTCAAAAGATTGAAAGCTTTTCTTTCATTGCCACCAAAGTCGTTACCTTTCTGAAGTAGATCAGTTAATAGTTGAGCAATTATGGAAAAATTTAGAATTAATTTACAAAAATAGCCAGCAAGACCAAGGAAACTGCATTTTTGTGACTTACAGTTTGAGGATAATTAATAACAGCAACTGTTTTTATCTAAAAGTTTAACCTAAAATTTTACTTGCTTAACCTAAAAGCCTTCGCGACTTTTAGGTTCAGGATAATTAATAACAGCAGTTCTTTTAAGAGGAGATGTAAACAGTTTACCTTTTTCGATGACATGACTAAAGAATTTAGTTCTACAATTTAAAAGTTAATACTGAATTCTTTCATCTTCAGCTTTAGCAGGAATTATGATATCATCTAGATGCAATAAAACATGACCTTGCAAGCTGAAATTCTTGAAAACAGAATTTACAAATCTTTGAAATACAGAAAGTGAGACCGAAAGGTACACGAAAAAACTGATATTGTTCATTATGTGTGACAAACAAAATGTAACCTCAGCTTTTTTTGTTGACAGTAATGGGGAAGAAAGCATTTTTAAAATTGACTATAGTGAGTGTATGAGCATTTTGTAGTTTATCCAGTAAATCTTCTCTTAATGGTAAGGGATACCAATCTCTAAATATTTTCCTGTTTAATTTACAATAGTCTATACAGACTGTAATACCAACTTTCTTTTTTACTATTACAATTTGATTAAAATATTCTAATAATTGAATAACAATTCAATTAAGCTGTCGGCTAATCAAGTTCGAATTTGTTTATCTACAATGTCTCTTTCGACAGAAAGTAATTGTCTAGGCCTATGAATAATAGGTATTTATCTTTTACCTGAATAGTCATCTCAGTGTTCATAGTTTTGGTTCTGAGATGTCTGTAATCGGAGACAGGATTTTCAATAATCGTAGCATGTTCTTTTGTAGTAGAAACTATTTCTAATTCTGATCTGTTAATAATCTGAATCAGTTTGTTTAACAACATGCTTAGAAATACAAACATCATCTTCATTTATATTAATTTCACCTTGTTTAAGAATATCCATGCCAGATATGGGGTCAAATGACATTACATTTCTGTCTACAGCATAAATATTAGTTGTAAATAATTCTATATCTGTTAAAATGTCAGCTGTAAAATAACCCATTGGTTTAATTTTGGCATTACCGAAGCCAGTTGACATATAAAATACACATAAAGAAGGGTTTCCTGTTTTTTTATAAACAGAATTGTTGCTCCACTTCTGGTATCCCTGATAGCAGCAAGTGATACATCATTAATTTTGATTACTTAACCCCTTAACTGCCACGAAAAATGTACAAGATTCATTTCCCAGTGCCACGGTTTTTCACACAGGCGTGCGTAGTTATGCGAAGTTTTAGGGAAAAAATAAGTGCAAGTTTTACTTTTTAACTTAATTAAACTGTATAGTCTTTGACCACTAGTCCACATTTTTAGTTTGAATTTGACTGTTCTTGTGTAATTACATCAGCGTGAGCTGTAATTGATTTTGTTAACATCAGAACATGCCATTTATATTCTAAGTTCTTTTTAAATGAGAAGCTTATTTAAACCTTTGTCTGACATTGCAGTTACTTTCAGACACAGAGATAATTTGCTTCATTTCTGTCAGGAGGTTTCAGACTATTTAACTTTTACCAGATCAAGTAAACCCTCATAGGTACACTGTGGAGAGGTTGCCAAGTTAGGATATAAAGAACACAGAAACTAGTGAGAATATTGGTTTCCATGTTGAGACAAATTTTCTGATTGTTAAAAAAGATGCTTAAGGAGAATTAAATCTATATAAATCAGCCAAAATGTTTGGGAAGACTTCAAATTAAAAAGATGCTTAAATATTTTGTTGAGTGTTGTTGTTACAAAACATAAATGTTTTGTAGCTTTTAATGTATAATTATGCTAATATAGTTTCAGAATCAGTGTCATAAATTACATGTATTTTAAACTGTGAAGTTTTATTAGATTGTGATTTTAATAGGGCTTTTTTAGCAAATATTGTTAAAAATGAATTAAATTTAATAGTGGCCATTTAAATCCATAATGTCTAAATTTGCCTAACTACCAAATTTAATTATTTATAACTAATTGCTTACCCTTGAAAATTATCTCTGATATAAAGCAGTTACTGAATTTCATTTTATCCTACTGTGGTCCCAAAACTAAAACACAAAAATCTAAAAATTCATGTAAAACGTATTTTTTGCATCTAGCGAAACTTAAAATAAGCAGAACAACTTATCACTTCCAGTTCTTTAGTGGCTTATTGGAACCTTAAAGTATATTACCGGGGTTACAACCCCTGAAACTCTACACGAAGCTACAACACAAACTGCATCAGAGAGAGCCCAACTATCTTTCAAACTTGCCAACACTGCCTACATCAGGCCCTTCAGGTTTGTTCTAATCAGCATGTATCTTAATAGGCAAGCAGTGGTGATAACATCTAGTCTTTGGTTATGAATCATACTGATTATCGTCTGACTTCTCATTTTAAGCTATGCTGCTTGACATAAAACATACCTGCTATTTACTAGCCTCTAGACTGAGCAAGCATGTGACAAAATGAGAAATGAAAAGAAATCAACATAAAGCTAACAAAATGTCACTTATCTTCTTTCAAATATGTCCAACTATTATGAATGTATTATATTTAATGCTACTTAATAAATTTCATAAAGTTAATTTTATTCTATTATTTATTTATTATAATTATTATTTTTATTATTATACTTATTAATAATTATGTTAATTAATTCATATTTTACAATAATGAATCCTACTTATGGATCTTTTTTATTTTTAGGATGGTATTACAAAAGTGAAGTTCAGGCATACATAATAATTTTAATTGAATTTATTCAATTCCCATTTACTCATAGGTCCTTAATGTTTTTCACTAATGGTACTTAATTTCCAATAAGTACCATTAATTTTTCACTAAAAGTACTTAATTTCCATGTGCAGAAACATGTACGAATCCTGGAGTCATAGAATCGAAATATGGGGGGGGGGAATTAGCATGTCATTTCAGGAAAAAGTCCAATTTTGTGTCAAAATGCCTATGTTAGAATGATGCTATATATGAATCTAATATATATCCTAAATCGTGCTTTCAAGACATGAAAAATGCAATTTGAATTTCGTCAATTGGCTCCATAGAACAGGAGATATAAACTGCCCCCTCTTTTTTTGCGCAGTGTGCATTGCTAAGTGGTTAAAATACACTGGTTTCTAAAAATTAGGGGAAATCACAAACATAGTGATAACTCATTAAGAAGTAAGCCAATCCTTATAAAATTTGAATATGTTGTCGAATAAGATTTGCTGAGCAAAACCGCAGTATGCAAATTATCGATGCTGCAGTTAAAATACATTATTTTGCAAGAAGCATAGAATTGCATGTTTCAGAACGAGCCTACAAATTTTGCTGTGACACTGAGATAGACAATTCATAGCGATGACCATAAAGCGTTTGCCCAAAGAAATGCAATGAAGAGCTATTGGGTGACTAGGGGCAGTATAAAATCGGGCAAAAGATGCCCAATGTCTAATTGTCTCAATGTCCTTATGCGGTTCATAGGCTTTGGCAATAGCTTCAATTTCTGACCACAAATTCGGCATCCAGAAGGTTCAGCTAAGGATGACTAATGGCTATAATGAATGCTGATAATTGTTGTTATGTGCATGAAGTAATAGCACGATAGCTCCGATTCATTTTAGATCCTCTTTTGCTGCAGCCACCGGAAGGTTGGTGTTAATGTCAACCATGCTTAGAAGGCTTCACAAAGAAGGTATGTATGTGAGGCGACGTGGCATTTATGTACCGCTAACATCATGCCATATAAGGGAATGTTTGAGGTGGACTATCAACATGTCCACTTGGATAGTTGATCAATGGGAGGCTGTTCTCTTTATGGATTAGTCTAGGTTTAGCCTTAAAAGGTATAATAGGCATTATTAATTTGGAGAGAACTAGGAATGTGTTATCATCCTTCAAGCCTCTATTAACGAGATGCATGCAGAGGAAGCAGTGTCTGTGTTTGGGGCGATATCTCTTTGGTTGGACTCACAGACTTCCATATTTTTTCACTTGAAACTATAAATACTCAGTCTTGTAGAGATGCAACTCTTGATGCTTATGTGTGTGCCCTTATTCAGGGGCAATAGGTGATGATTTTCTGCTACAGGACGACAACGCTAGACCACACTGGTCTCGTATCATGAATGATCAACTTCAGCAGCAAGCAATTCAGCACATGGAGTGGCAAGCTTGATCACCGGAACTGTTTCCTATGAAGCATATTTGGGATGCTGTAGGAAGACATACAGCTGCTCTCAGTCCTCATCTTCAGACATCTGCCACACTTGCAATTGCTTTGCAAGAGCAATGACTCTCACTTTGTACGGAACTAATAGACTGCATCATACATCACTGTATATGCTATATTTCTTCTAGGAAAGTTCTTACTCTCTTTTGAATGTGATTTTCCTATACCAAACTGACATATCTGATTTGTTCATTTTATACATATAGTATTTTCTATAACATCGTAATTGTCTGATAATTCCTTTTCATGTTATTTTTACCCTTTACAATGTGTTGTATACTGTGTTTCAGTTTCATTTAATTGTACATGTAACTTTCTTAATAGTCATCATTTTTGTGATTTTTCTTTAATTATAACCAGTGTATTTTAGCTGTTTGTTACCTGTCTGCATTACTTAAAGTATTTTGTTATAATCAAGAGCCTCCATATTTTGTATAATAAAAAATTAAATGATTTACATTTTTTGTAGCTGGAGTATGCAAATTATATATTGTAGATTATTATAATAAATTTTGATGCTGGGTTTTGAGCAGTCTAACTAATTTTGGAATGTACTCTATTTATTGATGAACATCTATTATTGAATACTGTTGTAAATTCTAAATTTGAATCCTCCTTTTCTAGAGATCAAGCTCAGAGAAAAGAAGAGGATGGTGATATGGCTGATGATCCTCGCAAGTTAAAACCAGGAGAGATCGACCCTAATCCAGAAACAAAACCTGCTCGTCCTGATCCTCAAGATATGGATGAAGATGGTAAGATAAACACAGTAAACTGTATGTAAAATTTGTATTACTGCATTTTGTGGCTTCTTTAGTGTGATCTGAAAGCCTTATTTTGAAGTAATAATATTGTGTTTGTATTTATCTGCAAAGGAAATAATTCAGGGAAAAAATTATTCACTTTGTTCCATTAATTAAGTCAGAAATGTATTGGGGTGTCCTAAAAACTCTTTCAGTTTTTTCCATTAAATTAACCCCTTGGCGTAAAATGATGTCCGGGAGATGTCATTCATTTCATGTGCCATTGTAGACTTTGATGTCTCCAAGACATTGTCTTTGGCCAACAGCATGCAGTTATATTATTATTATTGTATGGCAGTGTAAATTTGAAAATAAAACGGTCTGTTTCTAAGCTTGCACATGAGTGTCCACAGTTGATCCAAAATAAATGGTATATTTTGGATGCATCAACATGTATTTTATTTGTATGTCAGAGGGTTAAAGAAGCTTCCTCCCCCATCATCTAGATAATTTTATAATTCCACTTGCAAAGAGTTCTGATCTTTTTTGCAACAAAATATGACTCTTATGAGATGCAGATTTTACCTGACTAGGAGTTTTGCAGAGTATGAAACTAAAAGTAATCTGACGGTGCAATGCCAGAGCTATATAATGAATGTTTTGAATGGTATACCCGAAATAAGGATGCAAGGTGCCGTATGCACCCACTCAAATTTTTTGTATAAAAATTTGGCGAAAACTAAAGGTAACATTATTTTGCTAATTTTCTTATTGAATGAGGATTTCTTGGATTGCTTTATCTTCTAGTTCCTTCTTCATCAGAAGAAATCACATATGGATATTTTGTTAATGCTTATCCCTATAATTCGCTAAACAGTGATTGAAATTAAAGTATTTGGAGGCCCACAAACAGCCACCTACGGTCTTGCTGCTAATCTCTGAATTGAGCCCCAAGCCCCATATGAGATCTCATTTGGAAAAGTAAATAGTTCTTGAAAAAATAATTAAGAAACAATCTTTGATTTCTGTTAGGACTCCGGGCCCTGTTGCTTCAGCAGTCCTTTCACTTCTTTCATTCCATGTGCTATTGAAGAAAAAATGTCACTCTAGTATCCTTAATTAAATAGTATTGTATATCTTCCTTAGCCTTATTCCCTGCTATTCATTTTATAACATTTCTAAATATTAGGCAATAGTTTGCTGAAATAGCTTCATCTATCTTTAGGTTATTAGTCTCCAGGCTTGAATTATTCTTAATCTGTGGGATATTGAAGAGTAATATGATTCTGTAATATTAATCATAATCAATTTTATGGTTGAGCAATCCAGAGAGTGACATACTCAACAAATCTGGCTTTTAACCACTATTTTCAAAATGAGTAAATGAAACAGCATTCCCTCTTAAATTATTTTTAAATTGCCACAAAACTAAATTGAAAAGGAAATGCAAGTGACGAAGTATCTCATACTAAGTAATGATGAATGGCAATATTAGAATGCTAAGATTCAAAAGCAGATTGAAACTGATCTGCAAAACCCTACTTCTGAAAGTACTTTTGATTCTAGTCCAGATTCTAATTCTATAAACTAATTCATTCTAAAGCTAATCGTGCAAACCCTTAAGCTGAAATTAAAATTCACCAACAGGAAAAGTATAATTTATCAAATTTTGGAAATTGTAAATTAATTGATGAAGAGAAACTTGATTTTCTTTAAAATATTTAAATTCCGAAACAGAGTATGAGTCTCTAAGCTCATTATTGAAAAATGAAAGTATAAATAGAAAATTTATGAATTTCCATTATCATCTAAAAACCCTTGGCTCACTTATTCTAAAATTAAAGAGGGCATGTATTGTAAATATTAAGTAAAATTTGCCTAGGGGTAGGATGGCCAATCATGCAGTCAAGTTTTAAGGCAATTAGTGGATGATCCATATCATAATCGAAGGTAACATTGTGACAAAAAATTCCATGCTGCCGAGAGAAAAATATGAAAAAATGCAAAATAAAATCCATAAATGCTTGCAATAAAGTAATTTTGGAAAAGATAGTTGACAAAGGGAATGATGTAAATACTTTTCAATCATACCTGATGAAAGTGCAGAAATTTCTTCACGAGGGAAAGCATCCATTTATGTGAGATATATATGAAAGAACTTATAAGAAAACTGTTTTAATGGAAATTTTTGTTCTTGTTTATTATCATATCGACCGTAAAACGATCATTAAGTAGTGCAATATAGCACCAATTATGGATAAGTGTAATGTAACAACACATTCATATCGGCAGTTTTGTTTAAGTTTTGCAGTTGATTCTTGATCAGCCAACTTTTGTTTTTATGAAAAGGATGTAAATTCACTAATTGTCATTGCTTTATTTTTCTCGCTTTAAAAAACTTATTAAAATTTAGAACCTGCCCTTCCCCGAGCAGTGGATTATTTTCATCATCATTTTAAGTCATCACCATAAAAAAAAGTGTGTATTAATGGAACGCAAAATAGTAATAGGCTGTGGGAAGTTGGGATTCAAAGCATTCTGAATAGAACTTCAACTGAATTTGAAGAGTATATGAAAATAGTACAAATAACCGAAAAGCTTTTCACAAAGCACAAAATTGAAGCAAGATGAATACTGATTGTCTATTCCTTAAAGAGGCATTAGTTCCTTCAGAATTCCTGAGAGCGGTTAGTGCAGCTGTGGCAGAATTTCTTCCAGTTTTTATGGTTTGATGGTAGCCCACTTTCATTGCTGATGGGAAAATACATAAGCACTGAAATGCTTTGTAATTTGTACTGTAGTGTTGATATGCAGAGAAGATTTGGCTACTGCCGTTATAAGTACTCTGACATCAATAGACCTAGATTTGGAATGCATAAGAAGTCAAGGCTAGTATGGTGTCCAGGATAATAGCCCATATTTGGGATATTAAAAGACATATAAGCTACCAAGTGACAGAAAAATTTTCTTCAGTATAAAGAATAATTTGTAGTTGCACGGGAGTGATAGAAAAATATTATTCTATTATGAACACTCCCAGCAGAAATTCTGTTTTGCAAGAAAGTATATAAAATTTATGCCCATCTTTCAGAAGAGAATTTCTGAAAAAACTTTGTTTCATTTCTTGGATAGAGAAACATGAATTTGTTATGATATGGTGAGATCTTTAGTTCATGTATTAGAGATAACTGAGTATTGATATGATAAGGGCTCATCTTCTGGGGCTTATATGGTCTTGAGTTGATTAAAATGTTCTGCCTTTGTGAATGTGTTATTTTCATTTGCCAAAATATATTTATATATGTTGCCATTAAGCAAGATTTTACAGTTGAAATTGATAGATCGCAATGCAGCAATTCAGTTATGTGTCAATATTTTAAAAGAAATGCATGTAAATTAAAAAAAAAAAAAAAAACTTACTGTACAATTTATTTAGAGTCACAGTTTTGAAGTAAATAAATGAAGAAGAATCTGAAATTTCTTTTTTGTGATTGGCAAGCAAATGGTCTTACTCTTACAAGAACATTTTATTAAACATAAAGAAATATTAATTTTTTTAATGTTTTAATTTCCTGAAAGAAAAATGTTTCTCTCCAATCTGAATATGAAGGAAAACTTGAAATACTTTTAAATGTATAATCTTCTGATTTGTGGGATTGTAATAATGATATATTAGCTAGTGAATGTCAATTTTGTCAAAAAAATTGCATCAAGAGCAAAGTGGTTATCTTGCAACAGAAGCTTTACAGGCCTGGAATAAAGAGATTTTTCTTTATATTTATTAATTTTTGAAAATCTACATACCATTATCAGTTACGATGTGTACTATAGAAAGATTGTTTGATAAGCTAAAAATATATATAAAAAATTATTTAAGAAATAATATATGTAAGATGCACTTAAATGGATTGTTTTTGTTATATATATACATACATAAAAATATACTCGTAAAAGAAATTGTAAATGTTTTCAAAAAACAGACCCCCCCCCCAAAAAAAAAAAAAGTGCAGAGTGATAAGGAACATATGATTTGTTGAAAATTAAAAAACTGCTTTTAGAAATATCTTTGACCTAATAATATAATGTGAGTACTTCTGTACTGTTAATTCATATTTTATTAAACTTGCATCATTCATAACATAATAATACAAAAACTGTAGAATGAATGTTATGTATTGCATTCAGATAACCTTGTATAATTATAGAGATTTTCAGATTAAATTCAGTTTTTTAATGGCAAAGTTATAAGTAAGAAAAATTGCACATTATATGGTGACATTGATGTGCATTATTGACATTATATGGTGATCGCCATTAACATTCTATAATGATAACACCATTGACATTTTAAGGCAATCTCCACTAGCATTATATAGTGATTGACATTATGTATTGTTATGAATGAGCGGTATTGATATTATATGGTGATTATACTCCCCCCCCCAAAAAAAAAATTTTTAATTCTAGGTAAGCCACTGAATGGGATAACACATCTCAACTAAGCTGCAATAATTTGACAACTGATTAAAGATTTATGTAGTTTGGCTTTGTTGTAATGAGACAAAGTATCTGTACAGTTTACCAATACCAGACACACACACACACAGTTCTGTCCCAAGATATCTTCCAGTTTTGTTAATTGCTAGTTATGCATACTGGAACTGATTGTTTTATACTTTTGTAAAAGCTCAAAATAAACATTTCTCGTATAATTCTGCCAAACTGGTGACATTCTTCCTTTTGATAAATATCGGTTTGAATATTATTTCATTTGGTTTACCACGCTTGAGCAACGATCTGTTGTATTTATTGTTACTGTAAACAATTCATTTTTTATCAGAATATATCACTCATTTAAAAAATGGATCATTTTAGTTATGCTTTAAAGCATATCACATCTGTTGATATTTTGTGTTGAATGAATTTCCCTTAAGTTCAGTAGGTATCCAAATCACAAGTTTTTTTTTCTTAAACAGGCATTCTCAATGATTGTTTCGGGATGAACTTATATTCTCAGCAAACTTGCATTACACTTATGTGACAGTCATCTTTAATCACTGTTTTTAATTTTTCATTCTCCAGTGGTCTATTAGAACTATGGTGTATCTTAAATCGAAAAATTATCAGAATGGAAGTTTGCAAAATAATTCTAATGTGTGCATTTCATAAGTGCATCATTACAGAACATGGCAGAGATCTTTTGGTACTTACCTGCATCTTTTTTTTGCCTTTGCAGAAATTAAAAAAATAAAATGTGATGAAAATATAGATTTTATATATCAGTTGTCACAATGCATTCTCAGAACACATTATCCATACCTGCCAACTTTTACGAATTTTTCGTAATTTTTACGAAAATGCGTTTGTCTTTACGATTTTGCGATTGTAATCCATTTTTTACGATTTTTTTTTTTTTTCCGTTTTCAAGTGTTTTAGTGATTTTTGTCGAAATTTAGAATTTTGCGCCAATTGCATCGTGTTTTACCGCCAACTACCGACTACTTCGAATCTAGTTACCTGCGGTTTCTTCCAAACTCGCCGCTTTTAACCAGCCAATCCAATGCTCTGACTTGTTTCTCCCACTCTTTTCTTGTGGGCGCCAGATTATTTTTTTTCACGTTCGCTTCAGCAGCAAGGGAATTAGTCAGCTCGGACTCAGTGAGCGTGGATTGTCGCATTCTGTTTTTTCTTTTTCTTCCTTTCTTTTCTTTCTTTCTTCTTTCTTTTTTTTTTTTTTTTTTTGTTTGCACGTGCTATGAATTTTCTTAATACGTCGTTGTTACGAAATGAGTTAAAAAAAACCGTATTCTCAATATTTTCGGCCTGCCTACAAAGCCGAATTTCCAACAATTAAAGAATACTTCAAAGGAAATAACTATGCATTTTGCAATGTGTGCGTGTGCGACTTCATAATAAGTCACGTTGGAAGAAGCAACATTGTGAAGCATGTTAAGTCTAAAAAGCATGAAGTTAATGCTTTGGCTTCGACAACGTCAAAGAAAGTGGATGATTTTTTTTTTTCAAATTCGGCTACAAATTCGGATGCCGATGTCATTTTGGCAGAGTGTTTGTTTACTGCATTCCTCATCGAACACAACGTGCCGCTAAGCGCTGCGAATCACGCTGGTCAACTTTACAGACGGATGTTTCCCCGACTCCAAGATTGCTCAGAAATATGCTTGTGCTCGCACGAAAACATCTTCATCTGAACGAAATTGCTTGCGATGCACAAAGTAAAACGATAGCTGCACTCCAGAATTCAGCATTTTCGGTGTCAATCAATGGCAGCAACGACAGCGATTGGAAGCTTTATCCCATCGTCGTCACATATTTCTGTGATATTTCTAATGAAATGAAAACTCATCTTTTGTGTCTTCTATTGTTAAATGAAGACGCTACGGGGGAAAATATTGCCTCCTTGGTAATTAATGAGTTGAAACAACTTAACATTTCAATATCAAACTACATTTCATTTGGTGCAGATAATACTCATGTCATGGTGGGTGACAAAAATTATGTAGCCTCTTTCCTCAAAAAAGAACAAAATGAATTAATTGTTATTGGATGCCCATGCCACTTAATTAATTTGGCAGAAGAAAAAGCTGCAGCTGCTTTACCATTAAATATTGACCAGCTTCTGATTGATGTGTTTTTCTATCTGGAAAAAAAGTGTAAAAAGGAAAGAAAACCTAAAGAATTTCCTAACCTAAGAACCTAAAGAACTGTGCTCTGGTGAAACGAGAAAAATTCTGAAACATGTATGCACAAGATGGTTATCCTTAGGCAGAGCGCTAGGAAGGTTTATTGAACAGTGGGATGCATTGTTAAAATGTTTCCACGAAGAGATCAAAACGAAACCACAGATCCCATCAAATTTGTCGGCATATAAGATTCCGAAAGCCAACTTTGCTTCTAATCAAAATGCTTTAAAAGGGAAAAGCCAACACACAGAATCAAACCCTTTAAAAAGAAAATGCTTAGAAGACTTTTCAAAGGTCAGCTTTCTTAAAGAAGTTGAAGGGAAGAAGAAACAGTCTTCTATTAGCCGGGAGGAAAAGATTTTCTATCTTCTTTCTTCGGATTTGAACAAAGCATTAAAAAAGTTTTGTGTTAAGTACCATTAAGATTTTTGAAAGTTGTAAATACCCTTCTATAATCAGCTTCGCCAAAATCTGCCCTGTGTATCCAAATTCTTAATGATCTTTTGAAAGAACTTTATAACTAAGTTTGTAAAGCCGTCCGTTGTGAAAAACATGTGTTGTTTTCGTATTGCCTATAATAGTTTGGCAAATCAAAACGGATGGCAATGATCTTATAATTGGAAATCAAACCAGGGAGCTTGTAAATTCTTTGAAAGATCATGAGAAAAAAGAATTTTTTTCAATGTGTTAGAAAGTACTTTTCCTCAGCCTGTGATTACATTGTAAGGAAGTTTCCTTGCAAAATGAAGTTCTTTTAAATGCTGAAGTGGCAAATTGAAACAACTGAAAATTCATCTTTGAAAAGATTCGTTTTCTTATTGGTAAATTTCTATTGTTGTTAACAATTAAAGAAAATTAATGCCATAATGATGCTTTAGATGAACTAAAACCAATTTCTGCTGCACAGTTTGAAGACTTTGCCAGTTCTGGAGAAGATAGACTTGATGTCCTCGTTGGTACCTTAAAAAGAATAAAAAGAGCTGATGGAACACCAAAATATATTCGACTAGACTAGCAAGAGTTTTATGTGCTATTCTCATAATTCCACACAGTAATGCTGAGTGCGAGAGAGTCTTCAGTGTTGTAAAGAAAAACAAAACTATGTTTCGTTCTTCAATTTCACCAAAAACTCTAGAAAACATTTTAATTGCTAATTGTTATGACAGGAAATTTTCCAAAGAATTTTTGGCTAAAGCCAAAAAATGCACTCTAAATTCATTGCAATAATTTTTTTGTGTAACATTAAGTTCTGTTTTATGTTTCCTAATAATTTTTTAGTTACTACTTAATTGAGATTACTAATGTAAGTACAATTTTCTTTTTTCTATTTGTATAAATTGTTATTTTTTAATATCAAAGCATGATATTAATTCTTCGTGTTCTTCTGAATTTTGGAGAAATCTTCTGAATTTGGGGGAGAAATCTTCTAAATTTTTATCTTTAGAGGTTGGCAGGTATGATTATCAGATAATATTAAAACTGTTTGTGTTACCTAGGGGAAAACTAAAAGAATTTCCAGACAGTCTAATGTAACAGAGATTACCAATGAATACTAGTAATTGTTCTACCTATGACTATTAGTAATTACACATAGTGTGTCTAAAAAGTTTTAAGACAAATTTTTTCCTCAAATTTGAGCAAACCTGTAAAATGACAGTTGACAACATTTTTGATAGATAGTTTTTATAAAATCTCAAATTTCTTAAAAATATTACATGCTCATGGACTGAATTTTATCTGCAGTTATAATCATTTGCTTAATATAATGATTTGAAAGCTGGGCAAGGACAGCAATAAATTTTTTCTATAATGTGATAGAAACAGAAATGGAGACATCTGCAGTATTGTTTAAAGCATATGTGGATAAAGTATTAACAGTATCCATTATTTTTTTTTTAGCTAAGGACAATTTTTCAAAGGATACTAAGATGTTGATCATGAACATGGACGTGGTTTCCCTTTTCAGTTTCAAATGGATAAGACCACTGAAAACATGCAACAGTTATTACTGAAAAAATTTACTTGTCTTTTCAAATGCCAGCAATTAAGTCGGACATTGGTAAAGACATTGCTCACAGAATTGTTGTGGGAGATCTTAAAAAAAGGTGTTGGGGAAGCTTTACCAAAGCCACAGAAATTCGATTTCACAGATCTCAAGTGAAAACCATTTTGTGACTTTCTTGATTGGAAAAGAATAATTTGTGATGAATTTTTTTCCTAGAGGCAGATGGTGAAATTTATATTTTTTAAAGATGTAATGGATAGACTTCTGAAAAAAATGTAGGTTTTTCAGATGTTTTCGAAAAGAATTTTTGCTGCATGAAAATTTGGATTTTCTTGAAAAAGTTTTCAAATAAGAATTTTTGCTGCATTAAAATTACTGTCATGTAATTCTTTCCTGTCTAGCAGTTTCTCATAAAGAAAAATGTCATATTCTCCACCACCATCCTTATTCACCAGATTTGATACATACAGCCCTTTTTCTCTTCTCTGAATTAAAGTTTCAGTTAAAAGACACACACTGAAGCACTAGTTGTCTCAGCCCTGAAGAGATTTAAAAAAAAAAAAAAAAAAAGTAATCTAAACCATTGTTCTAAAAGATGAATTCTACATTTCATAAAGTCAAACAGCTTTATGAAAATGTCAAGCACTGTATAGGCTTACATGGATTGTATATTGAAGGTTAAGAAATAAGAAAGTTGTTTTTTTCAACTTTTGATTTTGTGTGATATACGTTTGATTAAAAAATTTTGGTAGCTAATATTTTTCTTACTTCATATGCAAACAAATTAAATAAATGTCATGCATTTATAAATTTTTATTAATAGTTTTTGGGTATTTTTCTCTACAGAAATGGAAATGTTATCCGAAGCTAGAGCTAGACTTGCCAATACTCAAGGTAAGAAAGCTAAAAGGAAAGCTCGAGAAAAGCAGTTAGAAGAAGCAAGACGTTTAGCAGCTCTTCAGAAAAGGAGAGAGTTGAGAATGGCAGGCATTCAGTTAGAAGCTCGTAAACGAAAGAAGAGGACTGTAGATTATAATGCTGAAATTCCCTTTGAAAAGAAACCAGTTCCTGGGTTATATGATACATCTGAAGAAACTTATGATCCTATGAATCCAGACTACAAAAGATTAAGGCAACAGCAGCTTGATGGTGAACTTAGAAGTGAAAAAGAAGAGGTTAAAACTTAGTTTGTGAAATTCTTTTTGTGCTATTTTATATTTATTTTAGAAAAGCTTAAATTGTAGGCATAGTTAAACGTATTAATGATATGTGCATTTAAATCTCTTCTTCTTCTTCTTCTTCTTTCTTTTTTTTTTTTTTTTTTTTTTTTTTTTTGTGTGTGTGGTGTGTTATTTTAGAAAGAGAGAAAAAAGGACAAACAGAAACTTAAAACTCGGAAGGAAAATGATATACCATCTGCAATGCTGTCTGGAAATTTTGAGCCATCAAAAAAACGAAGTAAATTAGTTTTGCCAAGTCCACAGATATCTGATGCAGAACTTGAACAAGTAAGTTTTATGCTTGTTTGTTTAGAAATGTTTGTGATTTTAAATTAAAACCATTTAATTTTATGAAGGCTAATAAATAAGGATTGATATAGATATAGGGAGTATATTTTATAAACTATATTTTTGAGTGAACACTTAATCAAACATTTTGTTATAATTTGATGAAGGTGACTGAAGTTTTTTTATTGCTACATTATTATTATTTTCTAATGTTGATTTTAATATTATTAAATAAAAATGCTTTTTATTCAAGATCTTTAATTAGAATTTGCAGCTGATAGAATTTAAAATTGAAATAATGCTCCAGTTTTTCTGCTGGAGCTGCCTAACATTTATTCAATGACTATTTTAGTGTGTAGATTTCAAAATCAGCTTTCAGTTTAAGAGATTCAGTTTTTAACTCATTGATAATCATAGCTCAGTGTAAGGACAGGAAAATATTTAATTTCAGAAATTCTTTCCTTTTCAAAACAGAGAAAGATAATATTAGTTTTTCCAAAAGGTTTATTACATTGTTTCCATGTGGTATTTCTGGTTTTCTTAAAAGTCTGTATTGCTAAATATGTTATATTAATATTGTGTAATAATAAATCTGTATTGTTAAATGTTATGGATAAAAATGCTTGAAGGTAATGCTAACTCATGTATCGCAAAGGATTAGTGCTTTAGGTTTGTGCCCTTAATCATGAATGAGGCAGTGTTGAAGGTTTCTGTTATACAGTCAAAAGTCGTTAATCCGGACTCGTCGGGACTTCGGCGATTCCGGATTATCGATTTTTCCGAATTATAGATCATCAGTTTAATTCTCGTAAGATGGCATGCAGAAATTCTAAAATTAAAAATATGAAACCGTAATTTATGAAATAAAGAACAATTATGATCTAAAGGGTATCAAAATTTAAAAAAAAAAAAAAAAAAAAAAAAAGCTTAATATTTATTTGTTTACTTTATTAAAAATTCCTTTCAATGTAAGTTTTTTAAGTTGCTTCATTTTATGTGATAATACTTTCTCTTTAATTCTATAAACAGACATAATTTCTTGTTCAGTTACAAAGTTCCGCTGTTCAAGTCCCGTTAATTGCTGTGCCGAGAATACCGACTAACTTGTCAATCGAAATTTTTTCGTTTTCACTAACCTCTCTGTCACATTCTTCATGTCTTTATCCATTTTTTGCAGCAATTCCACTTTTTGTTTGTTGGACATCGAAACATACTTTCGTTTTGTAGATCCTTTGGAAGTTCCAGCATCGGAAATTCTATTTGACATAATCGAAAGTTCAAGTTTACTTTTATAAAATTGCTCTTATAGTCTGCAAAAAATAATAAGCGGGATCCAATTCGAAGATTAAGGAACAACGCAATCATTAACATTAACTGAAATAGATAATTAGATAATTTTAGCTTACACCGTCCGTTATACATTAAACGCGCAGGCGAAAACGTATTCTGCACTTGCGCACACGCATATGCGCAGTAGTCAAGGTCTTACGCGCACGCGTAAAACGCCTGTGCGCATGTGCCAACGCGGCGCATGCGCAGAAAGTTTTTAGCTTTGAAGTCCGGATTATGGGTGTCCGAATTAACGACTTTTGACTGTACCTACTCTGTAATAACAGTCTGAAACGCTTAAAGTTCTAGTTTCAGCTCAGCTGACCATCTTTAGGTGAGCTTGGATTATGAGTTAAACCAAATTACTCCAAAACCAGTACTGAGCTATTCACTTTGACACACGCGTAAAAGCGTAAAATAGTTTGGATATTTGTAGAATTTTGAATAGAAACTCTTCCTTGAAAAGAGCCTATGACAACAGCTAACACTGACTGACTCACTTAGGTATTGTCCTGACTGCATTTGAGCTTCACATGAATACATTTCTTTAATGTACAGTTATTATTGTTACAGAATTTTAAATATTCTAATGCAATAAATTCTTTTAAGTATATTAAATAATTACTAATTACAGTATTAACAGGTGACTAATAAAATTCATTAACATTGGGAATGTTATAGAACAAAAAGTTAATTTTTGAATTAGCACAAGATTTATCAGTTATTTTGTCGATGCTTTTTTAAAGAAATAGAATTTCCATCTTCCTTAAATTTTTTGTTAATAGTGTAGCATATTTTGCAGTTTTTATTGAAGTAACCGATGAGTTTCTTAGAAAAACATAAATTTTATTCTTAATTCACGAAGATAGATCATTAAAATTCTATTCATTGCAACTTAACACTACGGCTTACTATTACTGTTTCTTTCTCTATGTATTTTTCATACAATCTACTATTGGTAAAACTTTTAGAGTAATAAAGTTTTAAACATTTTCTGACATTGCTTAGCAACGGTTACAAGATACAAAATACAGATGATGTCAAATGTGGCGTTGCCACTCCAATATCAAGGATAATAAATATAATTATTTGTTACTAATGAAATATTAGAATAGCTTTGAAATAGTGATCTAATGTCATTACATCCATAAACATTAAATAAAATGCAATGCAGAAATTTGCTTTGGCTGTTTTTTTTTTTTTTTTTTTTTTTTTTTACTAATAAATTCTGGCAAAAAATGTTGGAGCAAATTAAAAGAGGTAGCAAAGTTATTACATTTAGTATAATAGTGTTTGGGATTTCTAGAGTATGAAACTGATTAAAAATTGTCTCGTATCCTCTTTTTTTTTAGTTCTATGAATATTTTATATCAGAGGAATATTTTAATTTCTACATTATATGAAATTTTATTAAATATTTTTTGGGTGGTTTGAATTTATATTATGTGTTATGGTTTATAGATTATGTAGAATCTTAGTAATAAATTTATTAAAAATCAGTACACAGGTTAATTGACTAAACCTTTAAAAAATATACATTTGGATTTCTGTTGTAAATTTTACAGCAAGACTTTCATGTAGGCATATTGTATTTTTGATTTGCGGAATTTTTATCTTGCATTACATGTACATGTACAGTAAGTCTGAGATCCGGACTCATCGAAACTCATTGGCTATTCTGGATTTTTTATTTTTCCAGGTATTAGATCATCAGTTTAAATTTAAATAGTAAGTTGGCTTGTAGGAATTATAAAATTAAAAATATGAAATCATGATTTAAGAAATAGTGAAGCATTTATGATCTAAAGGGTTTCAAAATTTACACACAAAAAAAAAAAAAAAAAAAAAAAACTTAATATTCATATGTTTACTTTATTAAACATTTCTTTCAGTCTAAGTTGTTTAAGTAACTTTGTTTTTTGTACTAATACTTTCTCTTTAATTCCATAGACAGATATAATTTCTTGTTTAGTTACAGAGTTCTTGTTAGTTCAAGTCCTGTAATTGCTGGGTTGAGAATTCCGACTAACCAGTAAACTGGGGGAAAAAAAAAAAAAATCCAATAACCTCTTTAACACTTTCTTCAGTATTGGTAGCGGTATTTTCTGGATCTAGAACCATACTACAGATTTTGCTGTCTCTTAATTGATTGATGAGGGCATTGTCATCGCAGTGAAAAACTTATATTAACTACTCTTTTTCCCTAAATTCTGCCACCTGGTGCAGCCATTTGAGCTCTGGTGCCAGTTCTGGCTTTATGTTAAAAACAAATCAGTTATTTTTAATTCAAATAGCACTATATCTAATCTTTTGACCTATGAGTATCATTAACAAAATCTATTTTTAGCATTTGAAAAGAAATTTGTGTTAAATCTTTACTGATCAACATTTCTTAGTGCATTTTATGGCATGTCAACAGAAAAGATTACCATACTCTTTGTTATTCAATTACTAATAAAAAAAAAAAAAAAAAAACTTTAGGCATCACTGCTTGAGTCATTACTTGAATTGTCATGTGTTGATAAACATGCGGCGATGAAAGAAAAATATAATAAATGATGATTCACCATGTTGGCGTTAAGGGTAGTTGGTGTAAAATCAACATTGTGCCTATGTAGAATGTTTCAGATACATGACAAGCAGATATGCAGCTATGGAATCAAATTATTGATCGCACAAATTTGTGCTAAAATGATTATTTCTTGAATAATAAGTCATTTTATTTAATGCCAAAGTGAGATTAAGAACCGGGACTCTCCGCCTGTGTTATTATGAGGGGGAAATCAAATGCGCATACGTAAAGCATACAAAAAAAAAAAAAAAAGTCTTAAAAATGGTTGGTGGTGGCCTTTGAGGTCTGGATTTTAGATCATTCCGAATATTGGATGTCTGGGTCTCGGACTTTGTACTGTATAAATAATAGCTTTTTATTTGAATTTCTTTTTTCTTTCCTTTTTGATGATATGTATAACAGCGTGATTTCTAATGTAGGTTGTCAAATTAGGCAAAGCAAGTGAAACAGCTAGGGAAGCTGCTGAAGAATCTGGCAGTAAAGTGTCAGAAACTTTACTGCCTGATTACAGTTTGACTCCAACTGTTCTAAATGCCAGGACTCCGCGTACGCCAGCTACAAATAGGGATACTATTCTTATGGTAAATAAGTTATAAGATATTCTTTTACATTAATGATTTCTCATTATATAATTTAAATATAAGATTAATGTTTGAACCACTCTTGATATTTCTGTGTTTTACAAAAATTACAAATATGTTAAATACTTTAGATTCTGTAAAATGTGTCTGCCATGTTGATATTTTTAATATTAGTATCTGTTATTTAACACCCAATATATGTTCAGTGATATATAAAATATTGTATTTGTATTCATCTTTTAAAACTCATCTGAAAGGAAAAATTTTTTTTTGTTTGAAAAATAATTTTGGCTTGTAAAAATTTATTCTAAGCAACTAACAGTATATCCATTGTATGCACAGGAGGAAAAGAATAAGGCAGAGGGGAAACATTTCTACACAGAACATAGAAATGTTACAAACATTTACGCAGGTACCAAGGGGAAAAATTTAACACTAAATGTAATAAAAAATATTAATGAAATATATATTACTTAATATACAGGGTGTTTATAAAGACCATTTTGATGTTTAATAACTCATAAAATAATGAAGATATAAACAAACTTATGGCATTTATTGATAGAATAACTTATATATTTTCCTTTTCAGGTTTGAATATCTTTACTTTTGTAAATATCATCTGCACGTGTGGTTAATTTATAATTTCATTTTCCAGTCTAAATATCTGTACTTTTCTAAATATCGTCTGCTTATAACTAATAAGCATTTTTCTCTCTTTTGTTTTTGCCATCTTTCTGGCATTGTTAATCGCCATAATGTACACATATGGGTATCTGAAAACCCCCATGAATACCATGAGACGAAAAGGGATTCTCCAAAGGTTAATGTGTGGTGTGGACTAATGCGCGACCGAGTCTTTGGACCTTTCTTTTTTACAGAAAAGACGGTCTCATCAGTCGTATACTTAGACATGTTGAAAAACTTCATATTTCCACAACTAGAAGAGCTTCAGCCACATGTCTTTTTGCAACAAGATGGTACAGCACCTCATTGGGGTACCATCATGCGATGAGATCCAATTCCTTGGTCACTCTGAACGCCGCTGGACTTTTTCCTTTGGGGATTTGTAAACGACAATGTTTGCAGCAGGAGTGTCGAACATTGATGACCTAAAAGCCAGAATTACAACCGCAATAGCCTCTGTGGATGCCGACATGCTTGCCGGTACCTGGCGTGAAATTGAATATCGACTTGATATTCTCCGTGCGACAAAGGGGCACATGTGGAAGTTCATTGACAAGGGTCATGAAACTTTTTGAGTCTATCTAACCATTTATGTTATTAATTTTAATCTAATAATCTTTATTATTTTATGAGTTATTAAACTTCAAAGTGGGTCTGGGACTTTATAAACACCCTGTATAATGAAAATATTTATAAAATTTTTTTAACATATGTTGTTTTAGATAAATGCTCTAAATTTAAAAATATAATCAGTACTTTCTGATTACCCCTGCCTTTACCCCAAAAATGTTGCAAAAAAGTATTCATGAAGTAAAGCAATATTTTGCCAAAATAGTTATGTGGCAACCCATTTATATATATAGTGCATGTCTGTTTTTGTTGGTACATTATGTTGAAGTTGTACAATGCTAAGTTTGTATGATTCTCTCTCTCTTTTTTTTATAATAATGACATGTTTCTGTGTGTATATAGGGAGAGTAAGAACAAACACACACATAGCCCCCCCCCAAAAGAGTAGTGTGCCACCATTTTTGAAAATGGCTGTTGGTTTTTGCACACTAGTTTACCAGAAAATTAATCATCAACAAGTTCGCTATTGCTATCCAAAATAGGCAACGCATTTGCAACTTTTTCAGTAGGAGCAATTTGGTACTATAATCAAAAAGTACCAAACATGTTTCTTTAGCTATCTAAGTATTTTTTAGCTGTATATGACTAAAAATAAAATTGTAGGGCTGTTAGCGGTAATGGAATATTAAATGAAAATTGTCAAAGAGAAATGTAGAAAATTGAACATAATCATTCTAATGTATGTCATTATTATAATATCATTGAAACTCTATTAATTATTATATGAATGATTTTATATTTAGCCTTATATGGCCAAGAATATCAAGACAGCCCCTCCTCCCAAAAATTAAATTTACATTTTCACTAAAATTGTGTAATTTAAAAAGTCCTTTTATGCAGTTCTTTTTATGATTTTAATCTTTCAAATGAAAGTAAATTGGAAATAAAATAATTTATCTTTTACTAATCACCATAGCAACAAAGTTAAGTGCGACATCATCTCTTCATTCAAGATCTCCTGATTAATCAGATGGCATAAGATTATATTAAATTTATTTAAATTGCTGTGTGATTTAGAAGTCTGATGTCATCATCATTTTAAACATGGGAGTGTTAATGAAATGAAATATAAAGAAATATTGAATTATTAATTTGAAAAATCCTTCATTATCAACACATGATATAAAAAAAGGAAAGGTATCTGAAAAACCTGCTGAAATTTGGTAAATTAATTTAAAAATTCCGAAGAAATGTCATTTGGCAGATTATTTTTTAACCTATTTGATGCTGGAAAGATCACAGTTCTTCAACATTTGATCATAAAGTAAATGCATTAGAGGAAAATCCAGCATTAAATTTAAATGAAAAAAATTCTGTGTAACATTAAAAAAAGTGCTTTATTGAATTGTAATTGCAAATATATATCTGTGCAAGATTTCAATGACATTTGCTTTATAAATGGGGACCAAAATTAATATGAAAATATGACCTAATAAATACAGCGGTTCACATTTGTTTTTGGATAGTTTTTATTCTTGAAATTTATTTACATATTAAATATTAAAACATAGACTTCACTTTTTCCCCCCTAATATATTTTTTCTGTATATTAAGCCTTGCTTGTTGCAAAAAAAATAACTGCAAATTATAGCTTGTAATAAAGTATTTTATTCAAAAAATGTGAATAAATAACTTGCATAATAATTCAGACACTCAAAAGTTTTGTTGAGATCTTTTGTTTGATCTTTTTGTTGATGTTTCATGATACAATGTTTAGTTTTAAATGAAAATACATCACAGAAATTTATGGTTTACCACACTCACTTCAGACATGAAACTTATTATCATGTCTGAAGTGAGTGTGGTAAAATGCTACAAATTAACAATAAGTGCTGTTAGAAATTTAATTTTAAAATGGTAAAATTATTTGAAATATCCAAGAAATCCTTGATTTAAAGCATTTATCTTTGGTGTACTAAAACAAAGGAAATTACACGAAACTGTTTAAAATGTACTGAAGTGTAGACCACTTTCCAAGCTAATACCAAACAATCAGAGATTTATCTTATGAAAAATTGATTGAGAGCCAAAAATTATCATTGTAATTTGCAGTGAATTTAGAAGAATGATTTGCATAATGCTGAAAGTGTTAAAAGAATCATTAGGGCAGATAGGAAGGAAATTGTTCATCAAGAAGAAATCTAGGAAAATATGTCTGGCATTTGCAGTATCCATGGTAGGCAGATTTATCATATTAATGCAGTATTATATTTTCAGACAAGCTAAAATTGAATATATTTGGGTCAGATGGACAAATTATTATGTGGCAAAAGCTAAATGAAGAATTGAATCTGGAAAACCTCTGTTGCAGTTTAATTAAAACATATTTCGTGTAATACCTCAATCACATTTTGTTTCGGCTACATGGGATTAGGCCTCGAAAAGGACAATTCTCAGAACCCGCACAATTCCAGGAAACCCATGTAGCTAGGTTACCATTTTCATTTACTACAAATACAAAGACTTGACCGCCAAACACTAATCGATTATCACTCAGATTGGGATCACGTGGTGCTTCAGAAGCAGAACTTTTCGTCTGATTGGTTGTCTCTAAGTGAGACAGAGGTCCAGCTAAGACATTTTCGGTGATGTTTGAAAAAATCCCGCGTAGCCGCAACATCGTTTCCGGAGTTAGGCGGGGCTTCGCTTCAGGCGAAGCTCTTTTTTCTAGGAATCCTCCTATTTAAACCAGTGCTACTAGAAACTTGTTTCTCAGAAAATTCCCTTCTAGCAGAGACTGTAGCTATGTGTGATAACCTCTTTAAGCATCTGAGTTTCTGTAGCTCTTCAAAAGCAAGAACTCTTTTCTGATTAGTAATAACTTTCTTATTTTCTCATAAATTTATTTCATCTACACCTTTTTTCTTTCTTTCTCTCTCCTCTCCCCTTTTTTAAGGAAAAGAAAAAGTTGTAAAAATATGTGTATACATATTGGTCTTTCAGGAGGACAAATAGCTATTTGGGTAACTAATGTACAAATGCAGTAAGATGATGTCTTGCATGTCTTGTTAATAAAAATATGTCATCTTTTCTGTAGTTATTTAATGTTGTAAGTAAAGTGCTACGTTTAAAGTTGTAAGTCCTTAGTTATATTTATGAATCTGAAAGTTATATTATAAATCTATATATATAAATTATATAAATATAATATAAATTATTATATTAAGTTATATTATAAGTCTGAAAAAATAGAAGTAGGTAAAAATTTAATATTTTCATAAAAATTATTTTCTGATATAGTGATTTGGAATAATTAAGTATGCAGTATAAAATATGAATTTGATAAAAAAATTGGAGTTGGTGATATATTTGGAACAATGTTTTTCTCTAGTTATAGTAGCATTTTTATCATTCGTCTTATGTATCTTTCTAATTATAATACATATAATTATATATAATATCAACATTAAATATTTTAGTTTTCTGTGCATTAATGTTGAGAGGTAATATAAATATAAGCAAAAATTTCTAGTAGTGGAATTATTGTATGTAATAAAATAAATAAAGGAATTAGAAATAATTTAATTTAATGGATGATTCTAAGATTGCATTGTTCCTCAAATTTCTGTCAGTGGTGCTTTCTTTCCATTGAAATTCTAAAAATTTTTTCTCTGTTTTCTATCATGAATTGTGTTAAGCTATAAATTCATAAAATATGCATTGAAAACTTGTTATATTTTTATTAATTGCAGGAAGCTCAAAACATTATGGCTTTAACAAATGTGGATACACCTCTGAAAGGTGGACTAAATACACCATTACATGAATCAGACTTCAGTGGCATAACTCCAAAAAGAGATGTTGTTTCAACTCCTAATAATCTAATTACTACTCCTTTTAGAACAGCCTCTCATTCATCTGGTAAGCTGTTTCTAATCTATTTATATTTCTTTGCATTTATTTTATAAGTTTGTGTGCTTTCTGTGATTCATTTTACTCTTTTTTTCAAAATATTGAAGTAAAAGTATTCCTAAGAACTGCATTGCTTTTTAAATGACTGTAGTGCAAACAAAAAAAAAAAAAAAAAAGGATTTTGTACAAGATGGAAATGAGAAGGATTATAATAGAAGACTCAGTTTACTTTTAACATTATATTTAATTAAAAACTGGACTGTGTGTTTCATCCAAAATCATTTCCCATGTATTTAAACAAAAACAGTTCTTTTTAATATATTTTTTATTTAACCCGGGAAGATGTGCGTGGGGTCTTTCGGCATCTCACGCTGAAAAAAATTCGCTGGCAATCTCCCCCTATAATCCAAAATGCTTAGGTGCATCAGTAGCTGCCTTCAAGGTCATGTTCTATACGTCTCGAGAGGAAACTGCAAATTCCGAGCATTTATTGTTGTTTAAATAATAGTTTGGGGTATGCCGACACCCCACGCGCGCTTTCGTGTTACTATTTTTCAGTGTGAGCCTTGACGTGTGCAAGTCGCTCTGTTCGGTCTTTTGCTCATTTGATGTATGATCGAGAAATGAAAAGACTTCAAGAATTATTGGAAGGGGTTTGGTTGGATGAAGATTCTATAGAAGAAGACATTAGAAGATTCAGATAATGAAAATATAGTTAGTGATCATGAGTCTGAATCAGAAGAAGAGTGCGATTTTTCAGAAGACATTGCTTGTGATCAAACTGACTATTTTATAATAAAAGATAAAAATTAGCTCCAATAAGAGATTTATTTGAAAATTTTGTCAAGAATTGAAAGAAATTATATCACGTAGGGGAATAAATGACTTTGAACGAAAAGCTAGAACCTTTTCGAGGATGATGCTCATTTTGGCAGTGTATATTTAAGAAACTTACAAGATATGGTATAAAGATATTTGCTATGATTAATTTTAGAACCTTCTATACTTTCAACATGGAAATTTACGCATGTCAGCAGCCAGATGGGCCGTACAAGAAAGTCAGCAGTTCTAATGAAATAGCAAAGCGCATTCTGTCTCCATTATACAAATCTGGAAGAAATATTACCACAGACAATAGGTATACCAGTTATGAATTGGCCAGTTTCTTACAGAAAATGATTTGATGAATCACAAAAAAAGAAAAAAAAAAACATATATATAAATACAGGAGATGTTACATATTCTCAAGGGGAAAAGACAGAAAATCATAAACTATATGTGTGAAGTGTAAAAAACATATGTCAAGAGCACTATGAAATAGATGCTTCATGTATATATTACAAAATATCTAATGCTTCTTGGGCCTGAATGATTTTAATATTAATTTGTAACTCGTTGTTCATGTAATAATTCTGCATAATTTGGATTATAATTGCATTCACAAATATTCACAAATAGAAAACAGGCATTTCTCATAGAAATCAATGATTCCTAGACATTTTTAAAAAAATTATCTATTTGTTTTTAATTTTAAAATTAGCATTATTTTAAGCTATTTTATGTAATAAATGTTGCAACTAATATAGAATGCATATCTTTACTGAATTGTAATATGATGTTTAATTTGTACGTCATTTAATTGCCTGGGGTGTGTTGACACCCCATGAGTGTTTTCGTGTTTACAGCATGCGTCCTTATGGGTTAATTAAAATTTTTACTTAAAAAAAACTTCAAGCAGTAGACACCAGACTTCGCGAATTTCATTTCTCCTGCATCGAAACTGATGAGCTAATTTCTCTTACTCAATTCTGAAACAAACACATTTTGTTTTCCAAAATAAGTATTACATGCAAATTAAGAGATCAGCCATGGGAAGCCCTCTTAGTCTTATCTTTACTGACTATCTACATGCATTTTTTTATGAACCAAAATTGTTTGAAACTTTAAACTTTCCGGTATGGTTCTGTTACATAGACGATACTTTTACCCTGTTTGACAGTAATAAAGATGATTCAAATAAAATTCTTTCAACAATGAATTCATTGATCCTGCTATTCAGATCTTTTTTGAACTTGAGACATCCAATTCTCTTCTGCTTCTCAACATTTTAGTCACAGGTAAGATATCCAACTTCAGTACTACTGTTTACTGTAAACCTTCATGAGTTTGCCTTCCACACTTCAGATCATGTCATCTGACTAAACAGAAGTTTGCTTCGTTTTATTCCTTTGTTTACCATTCATTTCGAGTTTGCTCCTCTAAAATGCCTCTTGATAAAGAACTAAATTTTTTAAAAACAGTTGCTGCTGATGGGCTTCTAACTTTATTAACCAAGGAGTTAAAAAATTCTCATCTCAACACATCAAAAGGCACACTCTCATTTTAGGAGATTATAAAAATTCTGTTGTCATTTCTTTCTTTCCATTGATTAACTATAAAATTGCATGTATTTTACAGAAATTTAACTTTCAGGTTGTTTTTTCTCTTATCAATAAAATTCCCAGTTCCATATTTAAGGACCACATTCCAGATATGTATTCCTGGGTATTTACAGGATTCCTTGCCAACGTGGTTTAATTTACATTGGCTAAACTAAGAGAGCCTTAAAATTTTGCATTAAAGAACATGAAGCGTATGTTAGGAAAAAGGAAGCATAGAAGTTCTCTGTTGTCCAGCTCTGTTGGTCCAAAAATCACACTTCCCATTTTTCTGCAGTAAAACTATTCACAAAACATCTTCCGTTTGTGAGCTGGATTTTTTGGAGGTGTTTCACTTTGAAAAAATTCTTTGTGTTCTGATTAATGACCTTTCCAATCCATCTTTACCTTCAGCCTTTAAGGAATTATGTTTTAGTTTTCTTATTTCATCAATAGATGGTACCAGTATACTAACTTCTGTGCAACCAGTAGTTAAAAAATATAGCTTAACTTTTGTAGTAGTTAGTAGCTTAACTTCTGTCCAGTAGTCTTATCACCATATCTTACCTTGTTCATTTACACTTAGGCAGCTGAGGAAGATGGTTCTGTAGTTAAACCATCAAAACTAGTCTTGCAAAATTTACAAATATTACGCTGATTCTTGCTAACAGGATATATATATGGGATAAGTCAAAATGAATGTCCCCATTTCATAGGTGTACTCTGCAAAGTGTAATAAGTGTGGTCTTAAAAATGTACATACATGCACAGATAATATAAGGAAGTTTTTGGATGGCGCTGAAAGTTTAATTATCATCATTGTTTCTAAGAAAACAAAACAGGGAGAAAAACAATGCCCATGTAAAAGGGAAATGCAACTGCATAAAGTGTTTTATGTGCTTGAGTTTCAGGTTAGCAAGTCATCCCTGTTCACTACCAGTTCCGAACAAAATATGAACAGACAGCGGCGTTTCATAAGGCAATCTGTTTTGGGGATGCAAAATTTCAAGACACAGGCTGTGTTTCTAAACAGAAATCATCAGGTCATCTTTTAGTAGTAGAAGACATACTTGAGCGTATTGAAGCCAGCTATATGAGAAGCCCCCTAAAATCGACATATAAAGCTGGACGAGAACTGGGAGTAACTGTATGGAAAGTTCTTAGGAGGCATTTGCAAATGAAGCCGTATAATTTGTGTTGGTGCAACATCTAAAAAACAAAGTTCTGCCATGTGAATTATCTTTCATTGAGACACTTCTGACATTCATGGAAGATGCTGAATTTTTGAAAAAAGTTAATATTAGGGATGAATCAATTATCATATTTCGGATAGTAAATAATCATAACATGAGAATTTGAGGTACTGAACATCCACACGTGCAATTGCAATAACAATAACAATGTGATCATCCTAAGGTTAAAAGTGTTTTAGGCAGTATCCCCTGAGAACTGGGAGTAAGTGTATGGAAAGTTCTTAGGAGGCATTTGCAAATGAAGCCATATAATTTGTGTTGGTGCAACATCTAAAAAACAAAGTTCTGCCATGTGAATTATCTTTCATTGAGACACTTCTGACATTCATGGAAGATGCTGAATTTTTGAAAAAAGTTAATATTAGGTGATGAATCAACTTATCATATTTCTGGATTAGTAAATAATCATAACATGAGAATTTGAGGTACTGAACATCCACACGTGCAATTGCAATAACAATAACAATGTGATCCCTCCTAAGGTTAAAAGTGTTTTAGGCAGTATCCCCTGAAACTATCTATGGTCCTTTCTTTTTTTCTGAATCCACTGTGATGGGAGGAGTGTACCTCGATATGCTCAAATTATGGCTTCTGTCACAGCTACAAGAAGATCTTATTCTGCAGCAGCATGGTGTACTACCACAGCTGACTGAAGTGCAGAGCCATCTCAATAATGTTACCACAGTGGTGGATTGGTCATATGTCTACCACAGACAACGGGCTCTTGCCTTTGCCACCACAAATCCCAGATCTCACCCCATGTGATATTTTCCTGTGAGGTTTCATAAAAGATTGCATGTATCATCTTCCAGGTCCAACAACGATTGGTTTGAAAGCCCGTATCACAGCTGCTATCACCAGCATCGATACAGACGTGCTGCCCAAAGTTTGGCAAGAATTACATTTAAGACTTGATGTATGCTGTATAACGAAAGGAGTGTATATTGAACATTTGTGAACAGTACATTCAAAACTTGCTTATGTTATCTCAGCATTGTATGTACATTTTTTTAATGAATATATTTATTACATTTTGCATAATGCACCTATGAAATTGGGAGCATTCATTTTGACTTAACCTGTATATAATTAGTATTTTACTTGGAAATAAAGCCATGTTTTATATTTGAGTAAAATAAAGAAAATATTGAAGCTGCTTGCTTAAGATAAATTCTAGAGTAACTAGAATTGTCCAATGTCTATAATTTGAACTGTGGACCTGCCGAATGCACATTTAACATGCTTCCAGTTAAACCAAAAAGGCAAGTAGAAAGTAGAGAGAAAACGTCTTAAACGTCTTATAAAATGTAACCGTTTTGTGTGTTACCTTTATTTATTAAATATCATGTTCTTCGCACCTAAACCATAAAATTAAATTCAACAGCAGTATCACAAAATAATTTTAAAATGAGGCATATCTTTAGAATTTCTGATACACAGTCTCTTGTGCTGAAAATATTTTTTTCCCCCCATGTAGTGTTGCCATTGCTTGCTTTGAAATCTTTGAGTTTGTTAATAAAAAATTCGTTAAAATTTTACAAAATATGAAATAGATAATAAAACAAATTCCAAATTTGGGCTTCCATATGCCCATATTCGGGTGGAGGATTACGTCATTCAAAAGTTAATGGCTCTAAGTACCATTGTTTTATCCCAATGTGAGAAACTTACATATATTTATGCCGATTCTTCATTATTTAATTTCTTTAATTATTTAATTTTCTTTTAATATAACACAGGGCAATAATATTTGGTGGCAACGATTTGAAAAGGAAAATGGACATTAAAATTTTCAACACAAAATGTCAAATGTAATTAAGGGCTATAATGCCCTTTGGGCTAAAAAAAGGGGGATTAAAGTTTAAATTTTTTAGGTTTTTAATTTTCAATTCAATTAAAAAGTTATTAAAACTATTTTTGCTTTGTTTTATTATTTTAATTCAGTTTTAAATAATTACTAATATGAACAGAGAAAAATTAAATGAAAATAAAACAGGACAGTTTCAAACTTGCTTTACTTTAAAATGAGATTATTGCATCTAAACTTATTTTAAAATAAATATTTTATTTTCATTAGTTAAATTTTTGTGAGAATAGGCCAGTTTATGCCTCATCCCCTGAAAAATTTATTTCCTTCCTTCATTTTGAAAGTTTCAGGGACACGTTCTTACTGAGCTTTAGGTTGCTAATCTGATATTTAAAAAAATAATATTGAAAACCACTTTTGATGTTCCAAAATGTATAGCATGTTTTAATGTATTATAAAATTAAGTGGTATATTAGCTTCAAAGTTTTTTTAATGTGTTTCCGTCTATAATTATTTCATAATTTTGAAGCTTTTCATTATAAATATTTTATTATATTTACAAGAAATACTTCTGAATCGACCCCAGGAGAGGTGCAGTGGCTAGCACATTGCGCAGCTATATCACAGGCCCCAGGCAAGTTTGACTCAGCCTTTCATCCCTGGAGTGGGTTGATAAAATTAGTACCAAGTTTGCATGGGGACTAAACAGGTCCTGCGACAATCTGACCACTTGTTCAGGGTATATGCTCACATACCTTAGGGCCCATGGTCAAGAAAGCAGATTTTGGACACTGCAGGCCTTGGCCCACTAAAGCTGCTTTGCCACTGAGTTTAATTTTACTTATGAATACAGTCAAAAGTCGTTAATCCGGACTCGTCAGGACTTCGGCGATTCCGGATTATCGATTTTTCCGGATTATAGATCATCAGTTTAAATCTAGTAAGATGGCATGCAGAAATTCTAAAATTAAAAATATGAAACCGTAATTTATGAAATAAAGAACAATTATGATCTAAAGGGTATCAAAATTTACAAAAAAAAAAAAGCTTAATATTTATTTGTTTACTTTATTAAACATTTCTTTCAATGTAAGTTGTTTAAGTTGCTTTTTTATGTGCTAATACTTTCTCTTTAATTCTATAAACAGACATAATTTCTTATTCAGTTACAAAAGTCCGCTGTTCAAGTCCTGTAATTGCTGTGCCGAGAATACCGACTAACATGTCAACCGAAATTTTTTCGTTTTCACTAACCTCTCTGTCACCTTCTTCATGTCTTTATCCATTTTTTGCAGCAATTCCACTTTTTGTTTGATGGACATCGAATATACTTTCGTTTTGTAGATCCTTTGGGAGCTCCAGCATCGGAAATTCTATTTGACAATCGAAAGTTCAACTTTACTTTTATAAAATTGCTCTTACAGTCTGCAAAAAATAATAAGCTGGATCCAATTCGAAGATTAAGGAACAACGCAATCATCAACATTAACTGAAATAGATAATTATATAATTTTATCTTATACCGTCCATTATACAAAACGCACACGTGAAAACGTATTCTGCACTTGCGCACACGCATATGCGCAGTCGTAAAGGTCTTATGCGCACGCGTAAATGCCTATGCGCATGTGTCAACACGGCGATTGCCAGAAAGTTTTTAGCTTTGAGGTCCGAATTAATGGCTTTTGACTGTACAATGAGTGCATGATTTGATCTCTTTTTACTTCCTTTGAGCTTTTTCAGAGTTGTGAGCAAAGTGAGGTTACAGTAATCTTTTCATTTTTAGATACATATTGATGTTAAATGATATTAAATAAAAATTCTATTGTAAGTGATTAAACAATAATTTTTCATCATTTGTTGTAATGTTGATTTATCACTTAGTTATAAAGATTTTATCCCATTGAAGGCTTTTAATATTCCTTCTGATAGGCAGGTCTTGTATATAGGCTGCTCTTAAATGTTGTTGATCATATTTATTTGATTGCATAAAGTTGTGCTAGTCAGTGTTTTAACAAAGATTTAGGTATGTTGCATTTAATTTCTACTTGTTTTTTAGGTGTGACACCTAACAGGGCCCCAGGAACAAAGCCATCAAAAGAAATGACTCCTGGAACTACCCCTCTGAGAGACAAGCTGAACATAAATCCTGAAGATCATCTTGGTTTTGATGATGTACTTGCTGCAAAAAATTACAGAGTAAATATTTTCTTCCTTATTTCTTAGATTGTATATGGAATTTTAAATTGTTCTCTTTTTGCCATGTTTTGCAAGTTTTATAATTAGATGCCCTGCACTTTGTTTAGTCACAGTTTTACTTGTTTTTTAAATACTTAATTTTTTAGGTACTCTTGTGTTATAGGGACCGGATTCAGAAATTTATGTATGTGTGGAGGTATGTGTTAATGTATGTATGTATATGTGTGTATACGCACATATGTGCAGATACACACATACATATATGCATACATACATTTCTGAATTCGGTCTCAATAACAGAAGAGAAGCATTTTCTATTATCTCAAAGAAAATATAGAATTTTTTTCTTTGGTAAAAACCTACGTTGAAATTTAATTAAATGAACTTCATGTTAATGCTTTTTAAATTTATGCGCCATATTTAGAGCGCCGCCATGCCACACTGTCACTATACATTTACACACATCCATGCCTTCTCCGGGATCCATGCATATGTATACTTCAATTTTTTAACATGCTCTTTATTTATGTTATTGTTGTTATTCAAAAGGAAGAAAATACTAGATCTGTTGGTAATTTTACTAAAGCACTAAAAATTTTTAGTGGTCATAATGATTATTGCACTAGCATTTAGTTGCTAATTTAATTGCATTTTTCACATAATTAAACTAAAAGAAGTAATTTTCTTAATATGTAGTTTTCTAACTGAAATCACATCTGTAATTCAGGAGACATGTGTTCCAGGGAAAAATATGTGACTGAAAAACTTTTTTATTGAATTTATTTATAGAAAATTTAAATTATTATTTATGACTTAACAGAAGGTTATGAGATTTTCCTATTAAATTTTGATGGTTGAGAAAAGCGAAAAATTAAAAAAAATTGTTTGTGAGTGTGTGTGGGAGGGTAAGGTAAGCTGATTTATTTTCTCTTATTTATTTTCTTTGTAAACAAGGTTAATTAAGAGGTCACCTTTAGATTTAGGTAGGAAATAAAGTTTTATTTGTGCATTCCATACTTTATCGGGTTAAACTGTATTGTAGTAGCAACTTTATGATAAGACTTTTTATACCAAATTAGACTACCTGGAAAAATTACGAAGAAAGAAAAGCAAGCTGAAGTAGTTCCATCACTGAAATTGCACTACCGTTAATACCTTTTGAGGGGGGGGGCTGAAGAAAATAAAGAATCCACTGCAAAGTATAATTTATCTAGAATTTCATTAATGGTTTTTATGCAGAGGAACTACAAATATTGAAAATTATTTCAAGGTTCATCTATAGTAAGCAAGGCCAGATTACATCAGGGCCTTAGACATTTTTGTCTGCTGCTTCCGTCAAGAAATAGGTCACAGAAAAAGAATTCTACCATAGAAATTTGAAAATGAATGTAAAGAAATACGTAAATAAATAAAAAATAGTCTTGTGTTAATTAAAAAACTAATGCATGTGTTAATTTTATTAAAATAATTTTCAATATAAAAAGATAGCAATAAATTCTAGTTTTTATTCCAGTAGAAATAAAAATATGTAAAAATGTGTTATTTTATCTTTATTTTGAAATATTGCAAAATTTGATTATAAACATGCATTTGATTATGGATCAGTAGTCCAGTAAAATTAGAACTGTTTAATTATATCTCATGAATTAAAAAATGAAATTAATTTTGTTAAATGTCAAAACTTGTTTTCAAAAATATAAAATTAATAAAAAAAATCGTTTCTTGCTTTCATTTCTGCAAAATTATTAGTTATTTCCTCAGAATTCATATTTTCCAAAGCATTTTGTTTGATGTGTAGTAAAGATAAGGAAGTTAATGTTAAAAATATATATTAAAAATGACCTTTTGCATTTGATACAAGCAAAGTCAAATATATGTGCGATAAGATTTCTGCATTTGGAAATGTGGTTACAGTTTTGTGGCTTTATAAGTTATAGCTAATTAACATTAATTGTAACAGTTCCTCGTCCAGTTCTTTAGTATCAGTTCCTCGTCCAGTTCTTTAGTATCAGTATCTTCATTGTGCAATTTATTTAATAATGCAGTTTTATCAAATCTAATTGATACATCATCATCTAAGTCTGTATAAAATATTTTCGAAATCTTGTAAATGGCTTTGTATTTTTTTGCTGTGTAGTTTTAGTTCAAAAGATATTTTGTCACAAGTCACATGAAACTATGTGTTTAAAGGTTTCTTGACCATGACTTCATGAACCCACATCATCCTTATCATGATAAACTTTATCTAAAATATAATAAATTTCATAATTTGACTTATTTAAATAAATTGTCAAAAATATTTGCAGCAATTACAGAACATTTGTGGCATTCTAGATATGTATCAAGTTGAACATTTTTTATTAGGTTGAACCTGAAGCAAGCCTTAAATGCACCAGCTCTACAAGAACATTTAGTATTAGATATATTTTTAACTGTAAAATGTTTATTATTTGCCACAAAACTTTTTCTAAAGTGTTTCACTTATGAGTATATGCCTGAAAAAATGTATAAACATTCTCCAATAAATTAAAATATATTATTGCTTGTAAATGCAAATCACTAATATTATTTATTATCAGATTTGACAAATGTGAAGGACAAGGAACATAATGTATAGTATACTGTGATTATGTGTAATTACATTGTTTTTATTACACTTTTGTGTCATTTTGCATCATATGCTAGCCAGCAATTAGTCATCATGACATTGTTTACTTTCAGTTAACTATTTACAACAGTACATGTAAATGAGGAAAAAACGTATAGATTTTAATAAAAGGAAACATCCCCTCCCAAAGTGGATGTTTTGACTTGGCCTCTCCAAAAACCGGGCCCTAGATATTTTTTTATTTGTTTTGTTTTGTTAGTCTAGCACACTGATAAGAAGTGGAAAAAAAAAACTTTTGTAAAACAATTAATATTCTCTTAGATGCTTTTCAGCACTTGAATCATGCCATCATGGAGAAAAATGCATAGAACAATAAAAATGAAAGCATCATTAGATTAGTGTGATAAGCTAATGATCACCAAAAGAATGCGTGGTGATCATAAAATAAACTTTTATTCAGTAACGAGCTTGTGCGTTGCATACAGGTAGCATAGCCATTTATTATGTGAGGCATATCATTATGTTAGGCTAAGCAGCTCTGACTTAAGCACACAAAACATTCAGATTGTTGTGGCAAGTTCAAATCATCACTACTGTACTACAGAGTCCTCTCATGGTCTGTCAGTGACAAACTTGGAGAAGTAGTGGGTCTTGGCAACATCTGAGCTCCTTCAGTTTGTTGATTGTAACATTAATCTTATGTAGACACTTAAATCAGTTGGAATGTTGTCTGGGTGTTTCTTGAATACTTGTGTATAGTGATAACATAGATTCCTGAGTCAAATTAATGCAGATCATTGCTGTCAATTTGTCTGAATGTGTATCTGTTAACCATGTGAAATGCCATTCCACATATTATGCCTATATTTTTCACTAAATAAAACTAAATTATAACATCACTAGTTTAGCCTTGACCTCAATGCCTCTAGATAGGCCATCATTTTGCTGAAACCAGATTAAGGACACATCAATTTTAAAAAAAAATCTCATTTCAGATGCTTCAATTTCATCTGTATTATCAGTTTAAATAAAAGGCCTGTTGTGCAGTTAAAACACGTGTTGCTAGTTGTCAAGCATGAAGTCCTTTGTCGTGTCAGTGATGTTTTGTGGGTTGCGGGGATACTTCACATTAAACTCAGAATTGGTCATCGTCCCACCAGCGGCAGAGTTGCTGAAGACTGGTAGTTTGGTCTGCTGTGAACGGGCTGGCTGCATGGGCATTTTCGTGATTTTTCCCATGTGTAACATGTATACGAGTCAGTTTCCCTTAGAAAGTCCTCCACAAAGACATCCTTCCTCTTTGGCAGATAGCCGAGTGCTTTTTCATAATCAATTAAATGATACTGAAGAAACTGATATTAAAATTTCATATTACTTATTATCCCTTTTATTTTAAATTTAACAGATCTGATGTCTTTGTTAATATGTCTGATGTCATTTCTAACATTTCTGCAATTTGTGTAATTTTAAAAGAATTTTCATTCATATTGATGAAATTCACCTGTTGTTAAAAGCAATTTTGTCCCCTGCCCCTCCCAGATATTGTTAAAATATGTATTTTGTACAGATTTGATTTTTGTTGAAATTATATTGATATTCATGTTTATCTAGTAAACGATTTTATATTAATCTAAAAATATCAGGTTTTGATATGACAGTAGTGTCACTATATTTGACTTTTAAAATTGTTTTTCCATATTATAAAAGTTCTAATATTTTTTATAGGTTGAAAGCAGAAATATGTTAAAGAAAGCTCTGACTTCTTTACCTGCACCTAGAAATGACTATGAAATTGTTGTTCCTGAAGATGAGCCGCAGCAAACAGATAAAGAGCATTCTGAAAGTGCAACTGTTATTGACCAAGCAGATGTGGACCTTCAAAAAGAATTGGAACAGAAGGCAGCCTGTGAGTTATTATTTGTTGAATAGATTCTTACAATTTTTCTGTATTCCTTGCAAAAGTACTTAAAAATAAATGCATAGTAAGAAGCTTTTACTTATTTCTTTTTTCATTGTGAAATGGTACAAAGTAGATTGCATGCTTATAAATTATAAAAATGAGTAAAGATTTTACTGCTGTAACAATAACTGTTAAGAATATTATACTTCCTCAAAAATATATCATAAAAAGAGAGGCAAAAGTCTTATCATGTTGATAATGCTGTTGCAATAGTTATAGGATTATTATTCCTTTTACAAAAACATTAATGTATTAAAAATGAATTGACATGCATAGCTATGTGGTCTTGTGATGACTTCGTGGTTTAATAAGGCACCATTTAGCAAGACGAAACGAACATTTATTAGGAAAATATGATTCAAAGCATAATAGTAACTCAGAGCAGTACGTTGTTTCTACCGCATAGTACAATCTACTATTCCTTTTCTGAGGCTAACATGCAACTCCCTTCAAATACATTAACCCTTCTTGGAGAAGAGCTACATGCGCCAAGCACGCTCTGTGGATCGCGAAACAGTCGCCAGATATCACAGTGTTCTTAATATTCACATTTTGAAAAAATATCAGTTGAGAACTGTTCAGAGTAATTTCATGAACAACTTTGACTCCATAGTAGTTTTAAATGCAAGAAGTTTCAAGTATGTATATTGCATGTAGTACACTCTATTAAAATACAAAAACATATTCAAGTTGTTGTCCCTGTATATCGGTCATTCTTGTGCTTTCGATTTATACATTTTAAAACTCAAGTTGTTTGACTAAGCCACGTCATTACCATTGTCTAGGCATGAACATTGTTGTCACTTGGTATATGATGCCTGTTTATGTAAAATAATTTTCTTTACTTTTGTGATTTAATTGTCAAACTAATGAATGGAAGGCTATAAAAACAAAGAATAAAATTAGTAATAGAACAAATTTTATAAATGAGTGTTGGAAAAACACAGTTCTTCATGAAGTTATCTGAAAAGGCTATGCTGTTCAGAAGGTTAAATGTGTTAGCATAATTTTTTTGAAAAGCGAACATTTTAATGTTTTTCCAAATTTTAAAATTTTAAATAAAGGGAATAATATTATTCTAAAAATTTTGAATATGTTCAGTGTCTAAAAAAGTTTATTATAATTACATTTAATGGGGAAATGTATTTAAAAATAGATCCATGTAGCATTGAGGTACAAGTCGTTAAATCAGGGACTTATTGTATAAAAAAGCATGGTGTTTATTTGTGTAGTAAACCACATTACTTTTAGAAAACAAGTAAATATGCCAAATATGATTTTTTTTTCTTTGTTCAGTGGAAGCAGAAAGAAGGAAGCAGTCCACTGCGGTGCAAAGGGAACTTCCTCGTCCTTCCGATGTAAACTCAAACATTCTAAGGCCATCACACTGTGACCCTCCGCTTACAGAACTTCAAAAAGCAGAAGAGTTGATTAAGCAAGAGATGCTGATAATGTTACATAATGATGCATTGAAAAACCCACCTTTGCAAAATACTGGCTCTGGTAGAAGCAAGTCTCAGCCTACACGTTCTAATTTGGTTCATCATGCTGCTTATCTGGAAAGACATCCATACAAAGAATATGATGAATCAGAGCTTGCAGTTGTAAGTAGACATTAGAAAGGGAAGAATTATTCATTTACTTGTATTTTTTTTTAAATTGTAGCTAATATTTGAAAAATGAATATAATTAATGGCAGTATAACAGGAATAAATATTTAATTTATTTTGTTTTGATAACTCAGTGTAAAAAATATGAATTGGTACTTGTCTGTTAGCTGAGCATAAATGACTGATGAATTTTTTTATCTACGAAAGTTGATGAAAAATCAAAAGTTCTGAATTTAGTAACCATATTAAAGACATTAACAACAACAGCTTGTGGAAAACAGCTTGAAATGTCAAATTACTTCCTTTAACATTTTCCCAATAAATTCCTGCCATGCATTTAAAAAGCATCATTTACATCTTTTGAAAGTGTCCATTGTTCGAGTGTATTCAGATTTTTGGCTCTATGGAACAATCCCTGTGCGCTACGTGAACATCATTGCAGACCAGGTTCATCCATTGATGGCAACAGTATTTTAAGCAGGAATCAAGTTTACCAACTGGATAAGTGCATCATGATATAAAAGTCAAATTGTCAGGGAGTGGTTCGAAAACATTCCAGTGACTTTCAAATTAATGCTTCTTCTCCAAATTCACGTGATATTAATTCAATAGAGCATTTGTGGTCCCACCTGGAAAACCAAATTCGTGCTGAAATGCCAGCCCCTTGCATTGTGCAAGAATTGCAGGATCAGTTGGTGAGCGCTTGGGTGATAGTTAATAACTTGCAGATTTAAAATAATAATAAAAAAAAAAAACATTGGTCCATATTGTGTGTGAATGATCTTCCATTGCTTCTTTTGATGTAAAAATTTAAGACAAAACAGATACATAAACAAAGTCATGATGCTGTCATAATGTACTTATTTATTTTTGTGTTTTTTAAATGGTTATAAATATTCTACCATTGCCCTTGTATACTTTCACTACCTGCAGACATTGAGCTGGTGTTAATAATAACAATATTAATTATTGTAACATATGATTATTAAAATAATAGTAATAAATACTTTTTAAACATTTTTAAAGAAAACTTTAGTAAAATGAATATTAAGGTTATTAAAAGATTTAAGTACTTTAATCTCAAATTTATGAAATGTGCAGTAATTTTCAGAAAGTTTAAATTAAATTGGAAATACAACTGAATGTATTCTTTTATTATTAATCAATAATTAGTCTTTCATTAAAATTTTATAATAATTCAAATTTGTTGCAATTTCAAATACTCCCAATTGTATCATCTGAAGATCAACCAAAAATTAATATATATATATTTCTCTTTGATTCAAATTATAAACTTCATTGGTTTATTTTATCATACATATATGTTTTTTAATGTTTTAACAGGCTGATCGCTTGCTGAGAGAAGAAATGGAAGTTGTAAAAAAAGGCATGGGGCATGGAGATTTGAGTTTAGAAGCTTACACTCAAGTATGGGAGGAATGCTTAGCACAAGTTTTATTTCTGCCTGGACAAAACAGATACACAAGAGCTAATTTAGCTAGTAAAAAAGACAGAATTGAATCTTTAGAAAAACGTTTAGAGGTATTGTGAAATTTTATCCGCATAAAGTGTAACTGCATTATTTTGTTATAATTATTTCAGAATATTAAAAAAGTAAATAAATAGCAAATGTTAATGAATAGAATTCTGTTTTTAAAGGAATCAAACCCCATTTTAAAGTTCTTTTAATAAACTGAGTCTTGTTTTAAAAATATTTGATTATGCTTTGATGTAGATTAAATAAATAGAGAAAAAAATTAAAAAAAGAAAAAAGATTTTTCTCATTTTTTAATGCTTTCTCTATCTCAAAATAAGTTCCCTTTGCATATTTTTTAGCCCAAAGGGTGTTAGCTCAGAAGGGCTATTAATTTCAAAATGGCATTTTACGTCGATTCACTTTTCAGACTGTTGCCACCAAAAATTATTGCCATGTATTATATTTAAACAACCTAAATAATGAAGAATCTACATGAAGGTTTCTCACGCTGTGAAAAAATAGTACCTAGAGCCATCCAATTTTGAATAACGGATTTGGTAGTCCTCTAACTGAACATCGGCACACGGAAGCCCGAATTTTGAATTTTTTATTATCTATTTAAAAATTTGTAAAACTATAATGAATTTCTTATTAATAAACTCGAGAATTTCAAAGCGAGCAATGGTAACATTGCAAGGGAAAACAATCTTTTTATCTCCAGTGCACGAGACAGTGTGTCAGAAATTCTAAAGAGATGCTGTTTTGAAATATTTTGTGATATTGTTAAATTAAATTTTATGTATTTTACGTACGAAGAACATGATATTTGATCAAAAAGATAACACACAAAACTTTTGGGCTTAATATAAAATCTGAAAGCTTTCCGATTTTTTTTTTCTCTTTATAAAAAAAATTTTAATATTTCTTGATTTTCTATTAAATTGTGCCAACATAGGCTTTAGTTAAAAGCTTAAATGCTTTCACAACAAAGTCACCAATATTGCCCTTGCATTCAGACATCAGCAGTCACCCGAATGCCTGCACCCATTTTCACATTAGTGCATGATTCATTGGTTTCGGGACTTTTGAAATGACATGCCATTCATTCTTTTGAAGCAACAATAGTAGCTTTATTATTTGAATGCACCTCCCCCCATTGTGTAGCATCAACATTTAGCTGTTGATGCTCGCAGTTGGAATCCTGACCTTAGAGAAACTGCACATGGTGGGTGAAACTGTACAAAGATCCCCAAGTAATCACTTCACTGAAGTTGTTAATGCTCTAGCATTCTACTTGATAGGGGCAAAGGAAATCCATTCCAGCAGAAATTTGTATACACAGGCATTTCATTGCTTGAGAGGAACAGGTTTGGCCTCTATTGATGTGAAAGCTAATGCAGAAATTTCTTCTTAATCATCTTTTCATATTGTTAATAAATGCTTCTAAAAATTTGAGAAAGGCAACTCATCTGAAAATGCTTATTCTGCAATCGTAAAATCTTGTAAGAGCAGAGAAACATGGGTGAAAATTTTAGATCAAATAATAGCAAATTATAAATGACAAACAGTACTTGTAAAGAATAATATGAAAAAATGTATTTGCTGATTAAAGTTGTCAACTGGTGTTTAATGGTGTAATTATTATGTTAATTATATGCAAATGTATGCAAAATTAGACTTGTGCATATGCTAACATGTAAAATATGTAAATTAGGCGACTGATAACATTGTGCAATAGACACATGTTAAAATTCAGATGTGTAGTGTTTTTAATGTGATTTCTGTGAGTGATCAGATTTTATTAGTTATGATTCAAAGGCATCATTTAAGAGAAGACGAAAGTAGTAGCTTCTAAAATTTTGCTATTCCTTTGTGCAGCAAAACTAACAGTTTGCACTTTATTTTCCTGGCCCAGTGAAGGTAAGGTGGCATCATGTTTAGTGGGGCCAAGAAGAATGAGATCGTGTACTGTTTACTGATACACCCTGAACTGTGATTCTAGACCTAGTTTGATCTGAAGGGAACAAAGAATACACAGCTTAACTTTCCTTGTTCATGAAAGGCTCCATTTCCCTGGAAGTAATTTCAGTTTGGGATGGAATCATCAAAAATAGCGTAGCTCTGTGTCTTTGAGATTTGGGAATGAAGTCTGGAGATCATATATAAATTTGTTTAGGAACGCTGTTGATCCATATTTATTTGTTAATGGATGACAGTGCAGGTTTCCATTGAGCTTCTCAATTGTCAAAATAATCTTAAACAGAAAATCCTACCCAAATGGATTAGTCAGCTTACTCATCAGATTTGAACTCAATTGAACATGTGTGGATTGTCTTAGGGTGCCAAATTGCAACATTTTCAGACCCTCCAAAATCTAAAAGGCATCCTTCCAAAAATATAGTCTGCAATTTTGCAAGACCTTGTTTAGTAATTAATGCAAAATTTATGATTAAGCATTTATAATTTTATATCTCTTTTGCAATTGTGACAAGTGTTTTGGACTAAATTCGAATATTAAAAGGAACACTTCTTTTGGAGCAAAGGGAGTAATTTATTACCTTAAAAAATAAACTCTTTTTTTTTAAAATTATCAATAGATTAATGAATAATACTCTTATAATTTTGAAAGGAGTAATTTAATTGAAATAAATATTTGAAATCTCATATTTTAAAATTTCTTCAACACTCTTTTCTCATGTAAATGTGTAATGCATTTTTTGTGTGTATTGTGTATATTTGATTTTTAATGCATTGTATGAAATAAAATAAACTTTAGCAAAAGTTAACTATAATGTTAATACTTTTGATATTCTTATGTCTTTTACTATGACTAGCTGCAATTAATAGCTATAATTAATTTGTACTTAACTTTATTCATTCTTATAGCAAAATCGGAATCAAATGACCAAAGAAGCAAAAAGAGCAGCTAAAATTGAAAAGAAATTAAGGATTTTACTTGGTGGATATATGGTAGGTAATTTTTTTAACCCCCTTGAAATAACTTTCTAAGTAAGATGTTTGATAAAGTTAGCTACAAGCTTTATATCCTTTGATTCCATGTGTACATTTCCAGTTTCAAAAGTTGTCACTAAGAATTTTGTGTTGGCAGTTTTGTCTGTGTGGAGTAGAATGGATTTATAAGTATAAAATTAAATTTTTATAGGCCCTTCATAAAACAAAAAATCCAAAAGTGTTCATTTTTGGTGGCACTTTATTGGTGATAGGTTACCATATTTGGTAGTGAAGAAATATTCTTTTGGTGCTTTCAATAATTTTCCCAAATAATTATTTTGTTCTAAATCCCTAAATTTTTAAATATGACTGAAGGTTAAGTCTTGTGCTGTTTGAAACTAGCAAGACAATTTTTATACTTTTCAGTTAACAAGGCAGCAGCTGAAATGTTGAGTGTTAAAATGCCTCACTCGTCATTGCTCTGCAAGTTGTGCCAAACTTAATTACTCAATATGCTTTAATTCATAGACATGTTTCTTGCTAGATTGACATGTTTCTTGCTAGATGAAGAAAGAACCAAGATGGATTTAATGATAATATAGTTGCCAGGTAATGAAAATTCTGCTGTTAAATTTTTCAAGCAAAGGAATTGACTATAGTGGAAGGCTTTTTCACGGTTATATTTTTAAGCATTAATGCATCTTGAATATTAATCTTAAAATGTTAGGGTTGCCATTACCACATTAGGCTATATTTTGTCCCAACATTTGTATTGGCGATGACTCCAGCTCCATTATCAGAAATTATGGGAAATTTTAACTTTTAGTATGACTAAAACTAAAAATAGTACTTTTTTGTCATATCAGAATGACAGAAGTCCTAAATAAGCTTATGACTTTCCTGCAAGTACTAGTGAAAACCAAATTTAGATTAGTGACTTTTGGGGGGGATTAGAATAATAAAATTGTGTGACTCATCAAGAGTTTTGTTTTAAATTTATTTTAGTTCAAATGAGTGTTAGCATAGAAGGGCTGTTAGTCTCGAAATGGCATTTTGCTTCGAATCTCTTTTCAAATTATTGCCACCAAATGTTATTGCCCTGTATTATGTGTTTCTCACATTGTGAAAAAACAATGATACTTAGAATCATCAAATTTTGACTAACATAGTCCTCCATCAGAACATGGGCACCTGGAAGCTTGAATTTGTTTTATTGTCTATTTTATATTTTGTAAAACGTTAAGGAATTTTTGCTTAAAAAACTGATCAGTTCAAAGTGAGCAGTGGCAACACTGTGGGAAATAAAACATTTAAATCTCCAGCGCGCGAGACTGTCTATTGAAAATTCTAAAGATATGCTGTTTTTAAATATTTTAACACAATGTGGTGTTAGCCCAAGTGCTCTTGAAACATATATGTGCCTGTAAAACATATATGTGCCTATTTAGGCATAATATAAAATCTAACAGCTTTCAGTTTTTATTTTATTTATTTATTTATTTATTTTTTTTTAAAATTATTTATTGAAAGGGCATTTGATTATGCATCATTCGCTCCTGTGCTTCAAAGATGCATGAGATTGGAGCTTGAAAAAGATACAAAAATAGAAGTACAAAAAGACAGAGCAGTAAACCTCATTACAATAGCAATAACTACATCAAAACTGGGAAATGAAATAAGAATGACTACATTAGGTATTAAAATAATAATAAATTAGTCTCTGGATGTCAACTGCATCAACTCTAGTCGCTAGTATCAAGTGTATAGGTTTTTCTTCCTTCAGCGAGGAATATGTGCAAATGATCTCTGTCCTTCTCAAAATTCTGGCTGCACAAAGGATTGTCATGTATACCGATAATGGTGCAGATGTTTGATCAAGAAGTAATTATTGTAAAATTTGAGGGAAATCCAAACTTAACTAAAATATCCTAAAGTTTTAAAGTAATACCATAAAGAGGTGTTTGAAAAGTGTAAAAATTAATTTTATGTGTTCTTTTGTCCTAATATATATATATATTGTTGCATGCATACGAATTCGGAACAGATTGAATGCATAAATCCGATAAAAGGTTAATAAAATTTATTATCATCAAAAGAAATATAACAGAATGCTGGAATTTTTCTCATAAGTATTTGTACAAATGTCCGCAATATCATGCAGTAATAATCAGTAGTTAAGTAGTTATACTTTAAACTACTAAAAATGTTAAATAGGGATGTGCACAATTAGCACATAGAAAGCTAATCCGTTCAACAATAAAAACATCAGCTCAACTAATAACTGAGCTGTGATGTCTCTTCCCGACATTTTAAAGCTTTCAGTCAGTCGCGAGAGAGTTCTAGTAACTTCTTTGCTTCTCGAGATTTCTGGAAACCAACAAGAGAATGGAATTACGGTTACAGTTAACTCAGTAGTCAATTACATTTATCCAATTTCAATACAAATAAAAGAGATATCAATTTATTAGATGCTAAATGCACATGCTCTTGTATTTTTACTTTTCCGACATAGCTTTCTCTTGATATTTATCACCCAACAATAAATAAAACAATTTTAATTATAATTGTGCTAAAATTAGCTATCTAAATGCAAAATTTGTAACAATATTTCGGTATAAAAATTGAAAAGAGATTGCTTTTACATGCATTTTTTAAAATTTACTTTTCCCTTTTCTTCTTTTAGTCTAAATTTACTAATTTTTCTTTTTTTGTAACCTAAAATCTGCAAAATTGTAAAGTGTATGCAACTTTAGATAGCAGGCTTTTTTTTTTTTTTTTTTTTTTTTTAACTTTTATTTACTTATAGTGCAACAAAGTTTTTACTATATTTTTGCTATAGGAGGATAATATGAAAAACTTCTTCATACCCCTCCCCTTTGTTACCACCAAATTCTATACCTTATAAGAATAGAAGAGAAACACGCCAATGTGACAATTAAAATCACAATAACAACATTGTATTTAGCGTACATATGTTAAAATAGTCAATCGATTTCGAGGGTAACTAAAGGTCTCTCCTCATCAGGAGAACGAAATTACTAGAAAGGGGAAAAAGAAGAAAAATAAAGCATTGGCAAAGGAGTCTTAGAAACACATGGTGATTATCAGCACACACGGGGTCGTAACCGGATTTTGAATCAGATTTACACTGGCCGCCTACTTTTACTGAGCCAGGCTATCTAATCAAACATATGGCACATAGACTAAAACGCAAACAAATCAAGGAAGTAAAAAAATAGGGAGCGAGGGGCAACTAGACCTTCACGCACCAAGACTGAACCTCGAATTTTTTGGTGCGGTGAAGGTGCTAGTTGCCCCTCGCTCCCTATTTTTTTACTTCCTTGATTTGTTTGCGTTTTAGTCTATGTGCCATATGTTTGATTAGATAGCCTGGCTCAGTAAAAGTAGGCGGCCAGTGTAAATCTGATTCAAAATCCTATTATGACCATGTGTGTGCTGATAACGACCACATGTTTCTGAGACTCTTTTGCCAATGCTTTATTTTTCTTCCTTTTCCCCTTTCTATAAATTTTGCTCTCCTGATGAGGAGGGACCTTTAGTTAGTTACCCTCGAAATCGATTGTTTTAACATATGTACGCTGAATACAAGGTTGTTATTGCGTTTTAATTCTGTACCTTATGCTCTAGAAATTATAATGAAGAATCAGCCTTCTAACAATCTGAGTTTAATAAATGCTAATTTTTCTGTTGATTAGTATGCATTTGTTTCTGGAAATTTGGATGTAATAAGTGACTGAGTTAATAAACTCCTTGAGTTTAATAAGCATCAGGCACTATATTCAGTATATTTAGGCAGCTGTATTTCACCATGTTGTATCCCAATCCGTCTAGGTAAATGCTGTGTATTTTTAAATTCTCTTTTAACTGTTAGTTTTTAAAAAAATTCAACTCCAATAAAATTTTAATAATCATTAGATATAGAGTCACAGTTATAATCGAATTTCAGTATTTATAGGTTAATATAAAAGGGTTCCCCCCTCAGATATTTTACTTGCAGTGTGGTAAATATGCATGTAATTAATTCATCAGTAAATTTTTGGCAAAGATATATAACAGTATTCAGTAATTTATAATTCATGTTTAAAAATTCTCCATTTTTTAATTGTGAATTTTATTTTAAGAGAGATATTACTTTACAGTCTAGAAATCAAGCTTTAATGAAACAACATCAGGACTTAGTAGAACAAGTAGAACAAACTCATCTGGAGCTGAATACTTTTAAAACTTTGCAAGAACTTGAAAATTTAGCCATCACTAAAAGAGTAGAGGTATGTTTCTTTGCTTAACATTGTTTCATTGTGCATAATGAACTTTTTTTAATGTTTTCTTGAATTTCTTTTACCTTAACAATGAACTATTGTCAGTTAGTTGATGAGAGAATTTCTTTTTAAATATTAACAGTAAATTAACATCTGTGAATTAATGGGGTAATTTTATTTAATTTTATTAATATTAATTTATTAAATTCATACCAAAATAATTGTGCATCTGCATATTTACACTTCTTTTGATGTATAAAATTTTCTAAAGTTTGAGTTTGAAAGTGCTTATATAATTTTTTTAGTCATCTTTGCTTGAAAACTGATGCAATTACTGTGTATGTAATTTTATTTGGTGAATTATTCAGATTATCATATGCATAAATTCATAAAGAAAGAGCAGGTTTTGTTTTGCATGAAAAGTTGTCTTCTTTTTTCTTACAGATAAATGTAAAGTATGATGAGATAAAAGTGAAAGTTTGCTCTGTCAGACATTTTTTGTGTTCAAGTCTTATAAGTCAATATATATCAGAGCAAATGTCAGTTTTTTTGCATCATGCATTCTAATTGCACAGTAATTAAAAATCACATTATTGCTACAGTTTGCTGCTAAAATTCTGTCATGGTTAGTAATGGTGGCTAATACCAGTGGTCTCCAACTTATGGTTCGCAGGGGGTGTGCGTCCTCCTGAACCAGTTTTATGTGAATACATTTCAGTTATGTATTTGTTTTAATACAGTGTTTATAGATTTCAAATTGGCATAAATTCATTGGACAGTGGATTGCAATATTGTGTTTATTGAGAAAGTAGAAAAATACTAGCTACTATTTTCAGCAGTCATTTCATTCCAATTGAGGTGGAATTCAGTGCTGGCATACAGCCCAAAAGTACATATATAATGCATATATAGCAACGCTCTGAGAGACTTGCAGAAGAATCTAAGAGAAAAAAAAAAGGGCATTAATCATCGCATTTCAGAAAATGATAATTTGAACTTTAAATGTAAACAACAGTTGAAATTTATGGATTGTGTTTATGTGCATGATTGTTATTGAATGAAAAAGAAATAGAATGAATAGATGCACAATATCAGTGAAGGAAAAAAAATCGCTAGATTTTTCTATGTTTGCATGCCAGTTCGCATGACTAGACTAAAGTGAGACATTGGTACAATCAGTAAATTTATCCGCCAATTGATAATTGGTAGAACGTTTGTAGTCTGATGTGCTTGCTCCCCCTAATGAGTTGGTACTTTAATTTTCCTTTAATCAATTATTCATTGATAAGCTAGATGTACAGCTGTGCAATTCACATTGCTAAATAGATGGAGACTGTGTACAGTTTGTACTAATGTACAGCTTGTGAAAGTCTGTTATTTGTGCTTGTCATTAGATCTATATTACATCAATACCAATCATTTGAAATTGTGTGAAGCATTTTAAGTATTGCTTTTGTATGAAGATTCATTTTGTTGAATAAATGGTGCAAACAAAATTATAATTGTGATTTTAACTGATAGATTAAATTGCAAGCCATGTCTTTTAACAAAGGCCAGAAGAAAGATGTATGTTTCAAGATAAATGGGAAATTTTGTAATGTTGTGTGCAATGAAATTGTGATGAGGAATAAATGTGTATAATAAAATTGTAATTTATTTGTAATGAGGGAATATCAGTTACAAAAGAATACAACTTAACGTCACCATTATGAAATGAATCATAACGAAAAATTTGAAATGTTGGATGGTAAACTGAGAGAAGAAGTGAGTGAACACAGTAGCAGAACACATTAAGGAAATCGCTAGTGATTTGCGATGAAATGGAATATTTATGATTTTGTTGCATTCTCAGCAGTAGTTGATGAGATTTACAGATATAGCACAACTTGACTTTTTGTAAGAGATGTTACTGATGAGTAGTACTTGAAGAAGCACTGGAAGTTGAGGAATCACTGAAAATAACTTCTATGAAAGGAAAAACCGTTGCACAGAATATTTTATCTGAAATAAAAATTAAATGAAAGAGATAAAATGATTGGATTTATAAGTGATGGTGCAGCTGCTATTGTTGATTTTTTAAAAAAAGTGGAGTAGTGGTAGAATTAAGAAAGATAGTGAAAGAAGAAAACTTTTGGACTTTGTTTTGTATTATGCATGGCATTATTCGTCAAAAAGTGCTAGGTACCAAAAGTTTGCAAATGGATGATATTATTGAAAATGGTAATTAAAATAGTAAACTTTATCCATGGATGAGTTGTGAATCATAGAAATTTGTTGTATAGCATGAAGAAATTGAAACTAAATTCAGAGAAAGGATTTGTTATAATGAGATGAGGCGAGATTAAGTCAAAAATCTGTATTAAAATGGTTTTTTGATTTAATAAATAAAATCAAAATTTTCATGACACAAAAAGATGAAAGCATCGATAAGCTGCATACTATGTATACATGGCAAACAGATTTAGCATTTATTGTTGATTTAACTGGCCATTTAAATATTCTCAATAAAGAGCTGTAAGGAAAGGATAAACTTATCACTGACATGTATGCTTCTGTTAAAGCTTTTAAAGTTAAATTGCAAATATGGGAAACAGAACTGAAATAATAATAGTAATTCCTTTTTGTATATCTTAAATTCTGCCCTAATATTTCAAATGAAAATTCTCAAGAACATATAAAAATAACATTATTATGACATAAATTAGAAGGCACATTGAACCCTTTGTTGCTCAGTGGTTCACTACATGGAACACCCAAATTGAATCACTTGAAACCGTTAATTTCAACCGTAAATGGATAAAAATGCCTTTATAATATACTTCAAACTTCTCTTTTTAAATAGTAGATGGCAGCATATCACAAGGAGACCCAGAATTTTCATTTATGATGTATTATTAAAATCCACTTATTTTCTATATTTTTTGTGACGCAAAAAAATTTATTTGAAAAAAAAATTATGTATAATTTTGATGACTGTATATTATTTGTTATATTTTCTTTTACATTTTTCATACATCAGTCTTTGGAGAAAACATCTCTTGTAGTATATGTTTTCTATTTACGTTGTTTTAGGGGAATGAATTCAAACAAAGCAGTGTTGAGGGGTGAGGTGGGGTTTGTGCTATGAAAGCCCTAATATTTTTCTTGAATTGAAATTTTTGTCAGTAGTTTTCAAGGCAGGAATTATATCAGTAGCCTGAGTTATCTTTACTTAGGGGAGCTCCGCGAATTATTTTGCTATCACATTTTAGTCTCATTCCTGTTTATTTACAATAATTGTGTAGATGTTTTTTGTGTATGTATATCTTATAGCTTATTTTTCTTTATTGTTAATATTAATTGCAGTTAATTTTTTATTATTAATTTTCCATAAATGTCAGGAAAACATCTTTTTCTCTTTTCTTTTTCTTTTTACTTGGAATTCTAAACATATTGTTGCACGGAACAGAAGCCGCACAAAACAAGTTTTTTGTTCAAGTGGTTTTGAACAAACAGCAATTGGTTTGTGCTTCTACCAGAAAGATGTGACATGCTTTGAAAATTTCACGAAGCTATGAAATCGAAAAATTTGTAAATATTTTTGTATATAGGACTTGTGTATATACATATATTTATCTCATTTATATCATATATATTCAAGAAAGTTGTGTATATCCAGAAAACCATGTATACAGCTATAATGCAGTGTTTTTTTCATTATTATACATAAGCTTCTACTCATTTCCGTGCTTCACTGAAATGCTCGCTTAGTCGCACTTTTAAGAGCTCTGGTGGTGTAGTGTTCCACTTCATGGAACACCCACAGAATTGAAACAGTAAGTGCAATTTTTACAAAATTTTATCTGCATACTCCTTTAGGCCTAGATAGACTGCATACACATTTTCTTGTTGAAATACCGACTTTAAAGTGTAGTGCACCATAAAGGGTTAAGGAATTTAATGATTGGAGTCCTATTTTAAATTATTTTCATTACCAATAAAGCAGACCTAAATAATATACCAGGAAATCCACAAATGGAACTAATTAATTTATTGTGTATAAATCTTATTTGAAGATATAGTTCTAATTAATTTTTACTCATACTGGTCAAAGGATAAATATCTTCAAATTTCTTCAATTTTTGCAATAACTAATCACCTTGTTTGAGAGTATATTTATATGTGAACAGTCCCCCCCCCCAGTTGAAAATTAATAAGTGTAACAAAAAGGCCCAATTGGCCTGCGATCCATAATAAAGGTAATTTCCAGTAATTTTTATCCAAGGCTACAAATATTGTCAAATGCAAATAAATTTTGCGATCAGGAAATATATTTTGGAACTATAAACATATTTTATGAAATCAGTTTAGAATTTACACGTGTTTATTTTTTAAAATGACACTTTTGGAACACCAGTACTGTGCATGAGATTATTTCAGGCAAGACAGTTCAGTTAAAAGGTTAATGGGGGGGAAGCAACTGCTTTTTTTGATAATTAAGATTTTAAATTTGTATAATTTATAATCAAATTATTCAGTGCATTTATGTCATAACTTTAACAGCAGAGTTTTTTAAATACACCTGTAATTGAATAAAGAGAAAATGTATTGTGTATTCAAATATATTTTAGAAAATACACTTGACTACACGTTTTAAATAAAATGAAAAAATCTGCATAATCACGCTACGAAAATATGATATGATATTTTCTTAAAATCCAGAATAAAGTTTTGTTAGGTTAAACAATTAATATTTGCATGTTGCTTATACAATAAAAGAAAAAATATCAGAATGTATCTGATAGATTATAGTATCTGTTAAACATTTATTTAAATTTTTAAGCGAAATATTTTTATACTGAAGCTGTAAATGATATTTTTTGTAAAATATAAGCAATCTAGCTATTTAGAAAGCAAAATTGCTAAATATGACCGTATTTGAAAGGTACATTTTCATAATCATGATCATTTTTGTCAGTATTAAGCATGCAGGATCGGTATTTGCATTATGAGGTTAGTACTGTTATGCAAACTGAACTTTTTACATAAAAGTGTCCTGATTCTGTCCGCTGCTTAAAGAACTAATCAAAATTAAGTAAATAAAAACCATAGTAATAATAATAATAAAAAATCTTGCACAACAATGTTCAGATGTAACTATATATGTAACAGTGCTCTCGTGCATTTATAAGCATAGCTAGATTCAAGTTGGCAATCTTTTAATAAAATCCATGTGTGTCATAAAGCAGCTAATAACTTTATTAAATGTGTAATTGTAAAGACTTTTGCCTTGACTTTTTGAAGGCAACTTTCATAAAAATGCAAGTAGTATTATAAATATATCTCATCTGGTTTACGTATCCAATGTTATTGGGAGTCCTCCCCATCCATTTAACATCACATATTCAGTCAAATAAACAATATCAATTCTCTCCCCGGGGGGGGCCTTTAAGCTATGTATAATTTCGCTTTATACTCGTAGCTTTAAAATTTCTGTATCCTGTTACAGTGTACATTAATGAAGAAAAATCATTGTCTTCTGTATCTGGGCACAATTTTTATTCTTTTGCTTTTGTTAATAAATTAATTAATGAAAATTAAATTAAAAAATTTTATTAGTTATTGACTTCTAAATATATCTCCTTTTTTTTATCTAGTTTAGAACAGGACTATATTGCTTTATATTATGTATACAGTCAAAAGTCTTTAATCCGGACTCATCGGGACTTCGGCGATTTGGATTATCGTTTTTCCGGATTATAGATCATCAGTTTAAATCTGGTAAGATGGCATGCAGAAATTATACAATTTAAAAATATGAAACCGTTATTTATGAAATAAAGAACAATTTATGATCTAAAGGGTATCAAAATTTAAAAAAAAAAAAAAAAAGCTTAATATTTATTTGTTTACTTTATTAAACATTTCTTTCAACAAGCACATGCGTAAAGCATACATTAAGCATAGTCGAAATTAGAAAATTGCAACCAGAAAACTATTTGATGTGTACTTGTGATATTTATAATGACAAGGAATTTGATTTAAATCATATCAAAGACGGAATACATCGAGATGAAATACTACATTTAGTAAGGAATTATAAGCCGAATAAAATAAAAACATTTGCCCTGAAGATAAGGATAGTGCTGACAAATCAACTTCCAGTTCATTGCGCGCTGCGATGCCCCCCCCCCGCAGAGCAGCATGAAATTGATAAACAGATTTCGGAATGGTTAAGAAACAAAGGATATGCCTTTTTCCATTTTTTGCAGCAATTCCACTTTTTGTTTAATGGACTTCGAAACATACTTTGCTTTGTAGATCCTGTTACAGCTCCAGATATCGGAAATTCTGTTTGACATAATCGAAAGTTCAAGCTTACTTTTATAAAATTGCTCTAACAGTTTGCAAAAAATAATAAGTTGGATCCAATTTGAAGATTAAGGAACAACGCAATCTGCAACATTAACTGAAATAGGTAATTGGATAATTTTAGCTTAGCTTATACTATCTGTTATACATTAAACGCACATGCGTAAACGTATTATGTTCATGCGCACACGCATATATGCATGCGTAAAAGTATTACGCACATGCGTGAATGCATTATGCGTTGACGCATGCGAAGAAAGTTTGTAGCTTTGAGGTTCGAATTATAGATCGTTCCGAATTATGGGTATCCGGATTAACGACTTTTGACTGTATTTTGCTACATTGTGTGAATCTATGAGCTTGAAAATTAAAAATAATCTTAATTGAATCTTAGTTATTTCATTTTTTGTATTCATTGGGGTTTTCTTAAGAACTGAAATAAAGATTAGAATTTATATTAAAGGCAAACTGAATTTACTTTTCTAATTAAGAATTGAAACGTGCAAATATTTTAATTTTGTGCCCCAAATAATATGCAAGATATATAATTTTGTATGTTTTCTCTTTTCTTGTAGTCTCTTACTGAAGATGTCAACAGACAAATTGAGAGGGAATCTGTGTTGCAGAAAAGATACCAAGATTTACTTAACAAAAAGAAGGAATTAGAAGAAGAATTAGCAAGCCTTTAATAACATAAGCTTTTTAAAATATGGATGTGTATAATTTGTTAATAAGTGATTTTTAAGAGCTGTATACACATAACAGTTAGTTTAAAAACATAAATTTGTTAATGTTAAACTGTTAAATTGATTTTCATAATCTTTTTATATTTGCTATCTTTTTGCAGATTTTATTATAGCATTTCATTTGTTTGTAACAAAATCAGAATATTTTTTTTAATACTTTTCTATGCAGTTTGATGCTTAGTTTAAATTTCTGCAGGAAATAGTTTACTTAGAAACACGTATATGCTTTTTTAGTTTTCTTTCTTTCTTTTTTTAATAAATTTCTATCCAAAATGTTGATGGAGGGTAAAAAACTCTCCTTTTTATAAGATCTAAGTCTGAAAAAGCCATGTATTGGTTCTACTCGTAACTTCATCAGGAAGTGTGCATATTGTATATATTGATGAAAGAATAAAAGTGATAAAAGAGTTCTTTTGAATTAATGTAAATAAAGCTAACATGTACTATATTCATAATGATTAGAAAGAAAAGCAGTACAGCTTTACAGGAAGTTATAATGAAATTTACATGATGTAGAGTTGCACTTTAAAATTAAAAAGAGAAAATACTTGCATACCAACAAATTAAAGAACCCTTATTATGGCTGTTGGCAGTATGTATATGACAGTAGTGGCTAATCAGTGAGAGCCATATTTTGGATTTTTTTAAGTCAAGAAAGTTCAAGAGCAGCAACTAAATTTTCCAAAAGCCACACGTTCATACTTACATCATTTTAAAAGTAGTGGAATAGGTTTCAAATGGTAAGATGCATCTGATTATAAATAATCATTCTTGACAGTTTGCTTTATTCTTCTTGACATTGAGTAGTTTTAGTTTACTATGCTTCATACATATATTTTATTTGCATAAGAGCCACATTACTTGCCTATGATAGCTGTGCTGTGTCCACCCCTGGTATATGATCGTATGCAACTGCGCTATATATCTGTTGTGTTCTTTTAGGCTATAAATAAATTCTTGCGTAAATAACTGCTACTGTTTTCGAAAGGATTTAAAACTCTCACAAACTGTGATATGGCAATATATTTCTATTTCTATGCTTTAATTTCTCCTTAATTAAAGTAAAATATGCTATTTTAATTTTTATATGCAGTAGCAATTATATAAGATCTCCTGCAAAATTTTGTTCAATAATGTTATTTTAAGTTTCAACACACACGCATGTTTCATTTGAGACATATATTGCTGTCTCTTTTTGCCATTAATTTTATTTTTATCATGTAAACATGCTTACTGATAAAGTTAATTTATGACACCATATTTTGTATGAATTCCGACAGGGAAGAAGTGCTACAAAAATGTGACGAAATTTAGTGAATTTAGTTTTCGGTGGAAATGCAGTTTCAGATAGAACGTCCTGGAGATAGTGCACAAAATTTGAAGCAGGTGTGTTGAACTTAATGATAATCCGAGTTTAGGCAGCCATCTTTGATTTGATGACAATATCATCAAGACCATGATATACTTTTTTAACAACATCAGAGATTAACTTAGCTCAACAAACTATTTTGGACCATATTCATAAATTATAGAATTGGTTTATAAATATTTCATATGGGTTGGTCGGAACAAAAATGAACCATTCTTGGATCAGATGATAACTTGTAATGAAAAGTGAATTATGTACTGAAATATTATTAGAAAGAGAGCAGCCTGGACAACCTGCCACCTTCACCTCTAAACTGAGCTTGAATAAAAGAATGCTGTGTATATGATGAGATGTCCAAGTACCAGTACATTATGACAAACAAAAAGTTCAACTCAGAAAGTTAATGTCAACAAAGGAATATTTAAACAAAGCAGTCAAAGAAAAGAGACCAGTGATGTTCAGTAGAAAGCACATCATGATAATACCAGACCACATGCTACTTTGGCGACTCTCATCATAAAGTGAAGCTGAGAAATTCTGTCACATCTACCATTCTATCCAGACTTCACACTTTCTTTCCTTGCAAAAGTTTTTTTGAAGGGGGGGGAATTCAAAACACAAAGCAGATTCTTTGTATTCTGCTTGAATTCTTTGCCTTTATTGGCAAGACATTTTTCAGAAATGATGTTTACAAAACACCATCACACTTTGCAAGAAGCATTAGTAACAGCCAGAATTATTTCGTATAATGAATAGTCATAAAAGGTGTGAAAAATATATTAATTTCTTTTGCTTCCCAAACAATATATATATATATATATATATATATATATATATATATATATATAAATGTAGTGTAATAGTGCCTCCTTCCATATAATGCATTCTAAAACTTACTTAACCTTGAATATGTAAAAATATAGATACTAGTGAATATGTTACACAGGGTAGTAATATAGCATATATAATTTTGGTTTAATTAATAAATTACGTACAGATAAATTGACAGGTGAGAGACATTTATCTTAAATAAAGTAATAATAAAATATTCTGTACATTGCTGCGTCACTAAGTATTGTATTGTAAAACATATTGAACACTAGTGTATACTCTCTCTTGTGCCCATGAAAGTAAGGGATTCTGACAATTAAATTTCATCTGCAAAAGACAAATGAGAAATCGAGAAATGGGAGTTCTACAGCTTAACAAATTGTCTCATGGGATGGCAGAAATGAGAATCATTCATATTTCTATCAGTAAAACGGAACATTAATAATATCCAAACATTGTCTACATCAGTAGTCATATATTTAGGGATCTTTATTATGGTAAATAGAGCTCTAAAGTGGATAGCTTAGTTAACATGTTAACATGAGTATGGAGTAAATGCTGGAAAGACGATTGGGAAAGATGTGTAAAAAAAAAGAAAGTGGGGATGCGGTAAAAAAATAAGTTAAATACCCACTGATTACTGATAATCGACATACCCAACTCAGTTATGATTATCAAATTGGGGGTTAAGTTTGAGGGTTTTATCTGTAATCCAAAGAATACAAATAAAGCACAGTGCCATTTCCAGTCTTCTCATGTTCAGTTAATTGACCTGAAACAAATGTGCCGATGTATAGGAATATAGTATTGGGCATGTTTTGAGGTGTAATTACCAGACTGTTGTTAATTCATTTGCATTTCAAAACTTTTAATGACATTTTTTTTAAATGTCAATATGAACCACAGATAAGTGAAATCATTTATACTCAATCACTCTGTATGGGACGAAAAGTACAAAGTCTTATTAAAAAAAAATTCTTTGTTATTTTAGGCATTGTGTTATTAAAATAATATACAATTAAAGTATAGGCAGCTTCTGAAAAATATTATTAATCACATAAATGTATAGGTGTATATCAATTGCCTATTCAAATTACAGTCAACTTTTTAAAAACAACTGTTCAGAATTGATGATAAGATATCGAATTCCGTGCCATTACAGTGATCAGCTTATAATTTTAACCTTAGTTCTTTTTGTAAAGTAAAAGGATGCTGGGAGTATAACTGACATCAATTGTTTAAACCAGCTATTCAGTCATTAGGACAGTTTAGCTTTAAGATTACGTCATTTTTTTCTCTTCTCGGTGCCTTGCATGGCACGAATGTTCATTACAGTAACCCTGTAAATGCTCGCTCAGTATTTTATTGCTGTTGTTAGTAGTAAGTCATCGCTTGAAAGATGGCACACATATGATTAAAGTTGTAAAATAAAATAATAATTAATACAGTCCATTTTTTTAAATTTGTATTATTTATATATCAATGCTTGCATCCCATGAACCAGGAATTCCAAATCTTGCCTTATGCAGCCCTTTCACCACTGCTAGAAGTTCATTCCCTGCTTCCTTTCCAAAACTTGAAAAATAAATATATATTTGTTTAGAGTCAATTATTTTGTAGCATGTTTTATTAATTGAACAACACAATGTGTAGAAAATGTTGATAAATAACAAAACTTGATTAAAGAGGGTTTTTTTTTTTTTTTTTTTTTTTTTTTTTTTTTGTATTCACAACTCAAAGCTAAATAATGAATACAGTCAAAAGTCGTTAATCCGGACTCGTCGGGACTTCGGCGATTCCGTATTATCGATTTTTCCGGATTATAGATCATCAGTTTAAATCTCGTAAGATGGCATGCAGAAATTCTAAAATTAAAAATATGAAACCGTAATTTATGAAATAAAGAACAATTATGATCTAAAGGGTATCAAAATTTACAAAAAAAAAAGCTTAATATTTATTTGTTTACTTCATTAATCATTTCTTTCAATGTAAGTTGTTTAAGTTGCTTCGTTTTATGTGATAATACTTTCTCTTTAATTCTATAAACAGATTAATTTTATAAACTGACGTAATTTCTTGTTCAGTTACAAAGTTCCACTGTTCAAGTCCCGTAATTGCTGCCGAGAATACTGACTAACTTGTCAATCGAAATTTTTTCGTTTTCACTAACCTCTCTATCACCTTCTTCATGTCTTTATCCATTTTTTGCAGCAATTCCACTTTTTGTTTAATGGACATCGAAACATACTTTCGTTTTGTAGATCCTTTGAGAGCTCCAGCATCGAAAATTCTATTTGACATAATGGAAAGTTCAAGTTTACTTTTATAAAATTGCTCTTACAGTCTGCAAAAAATAATAAACCGGATCCAATTCGAAGATTAAGGAACAACACAATCATCAACATTAACTGAAATAGATAATTAGATAATTTTAGCATATACCGTCCGTTATACATAAAACGCGCACGCGAAAACGTATTCTGCACTTGCGCACATGCATATGCACAGTCGTAAAGGTCTTATGCGCACGCGTAAATGCCTATGTGCATGTGTCAATGCGGCGCATGCGCAAAAAGTTTTTAGCTTTGAGGTCCGGATTATGGTGTGTCCGTTGCATATAACGATAAGTTCCCCCTTTATTATTTACTTACTGCTATTTTATCCAATGAACAGTCTTAACAGAAGTTGTCTAGCTTCTTCCTTTTGCTGCTAGAACAAGTCATTGCACTTGGAAATAAAGTTCTGCCTGTTAAACTACTTATTTACTGCTTTTTACCCTTGGACAGAAGTTTAGATTCTTCCTTTGAACTGCCTTTAGCCTCAGTTTTGCACCTTAGCCTCTCATTAGTGCCGTTTCTTATGTAAGACTTCAGATATTTTCAAGTTTCCTCTTCAGAACAGTTTCTTGGATATATATGTATTTTTTTTTAGCCTTTTTTTTTTTTTTAATTATGCCCAAAATCTAGATTATTGATATGGCATATAAGAAAGTTTCTTCCAGAAGTCAGCTTGGATATAATGTATATGCCTTTGTTTTTTGAAGAAATGCCCATGCCTAATGTCTTTCGGCATTAATGAGTTCATCGAAAGAAAAAATGATTCTTTGTTAATGCAAGAGATCTTGCAAAACACATTCGGTCATTGGAGCAGAAGCACACAGTCTGGGGAGTCAGCAAGTCCAAATCTAAAAAAATGAGCCTGTAAGTA